ATTCAAAACGACCCAACGCAATGAACTTTTGAGATCAAACACAATGGGCGGAGCGTTGTGAGATTACGGTAGAGCGGGAGGTGAATTGTATCTTGAGTATACTTCATATTAGGCTTCATATTTTTCTGCGCGAATCCCTCTTTGAAGAGAAAGCTCATTTGAATGAAATATGACGGAATTCCCATTTTTTTCGTGTTTCCAACCGCTAATCCATCATCGCCAAACCCTTTAAACAATTTCCGCTCAATCTCGGAAACTGAGGAACGCGGAGGAAGCGCATCATCAGCGGCAGCAGCTCGATAAACAATTTTTTTGTGTGCCTGATATAAATAATCAAAGCTTCACAACTCATTAGCACAACAAAATAACAAAAATGTATAATTATTGTATGTTTTTGCTCATTCCAAAATAATAATAATAATAATAGGCAATGTGCCTAATCTCTCGCTAACTATATGTATTAATTATGTAGCCTTCATTTTTGTTCGCTCACAACCCGCGAAAAATCGTATCATTCATTCAAGTCGTCATTTTGATATGATGACGATGATTACTTTTGCCCAAACTAGTTTTATCAAAAAAAAAAAAAAAAAAAGAAATGGAGACTGAAGGTACAAAAATGTGAATGTCGGTGTATATCAGTCTCACAGTCTCGATTGATATGCTCCTTTGATCTTGATTCGCGGTAAGACGCAACATACAGTATCAATCAATGGAATTTCGAAAAATCGGCTCGACCAATTTTTTTGTTGATTGCAAAAAAAAAATTGAGCTGTTTATAATTTCGAATAATTGTTTATAGAAATTTTGTTTCGAAGATGACTAGCTGCCCAATTTGACTCACAATTCTCATATCAAAAAATAATTATCGCAAATTTCTTTATAAGGAAATTTTGTGAAATACCCACTATACTTTTTTTGTTGAGTGTTTCCAAAAATCTTCATAGATCAATTAAAGCTCAATTATTTTTATAATTATGATACTCTTCAAATTTTTGTATCATTATCAGTTTTTTGCATATAAGGTCATATTTTTGAATTATTGGAATCTCAAACTTGAAATTCTCAAATTTGGTTTTTTTTGCTTTATGTACATACGAGAATGCCACAGACGGAAAGTGTTCGCAACAAAAATTCTGCACTTTTTGTTTTGAAGATAAGAATTCGATATTGTTGAACAGTCCCTAGCTATTCTCATTATTGCTATCTTACATTTGCCTACAATTTTTTGTTGTTGAGGATTTCTCAAAAAAAATATACATTCAATTTTCATACGCCTCCCATTTTTTTGTGGTTGTTATGTGAGGTTAGACAGCTTCATTGTTATGGTAATCGGAATCCTGTTAACCATCAGATTCTCACGACTCAATTGTCCGCAGCAATACTTGATTGTATAGCGGGTTCTATTTTGGTTTTGATTATTTTAAATGTTACTTCTGACCCACCCATCTCATGATCTTTTAAATAATATCGCGTCAGGACCCTCATAGAAGAGGGGGGGGGTTTAATTGGCATGCACGCCATTAGTATAACAACGCCAAATAATATTCGCTGAGCTCAGTTTCAATTTCCACCGTTTCTCTCATTAATCCCCGAAGCTAATTACCATGTAAATTCGCGGAATCGAAACGCGAGAAAAGCAACAAAAAATGAAGAAGAAGAAGAAGAAGCGAAAAACGGAATTGCGCGTTCTCAATTTTCTCGCCGAGTCACGACACATTATAATTATGCTAATGTATTAGGAAGCACGAGGGAAAGGGGAGGAATGAGGCGTGGAAGTGACATTTTTATTCTTCAAGCCCTTATTTAGAAATGTTGCAACAAAAAAAAATGGCGCGCGCCTTCAATAAATCATTGGGCATTCGTTGCAATTTTTTGGTGGCTTGGTGAGTACACCAAATTAGAAACAATGTGTTCAATTTCCGATTTTTGTTTGGCCCAGATGTTATCGCCAAAATTTTCAATTTTTTTTTCCGGCCATATCGATGACGCACCTGCGGACATGTTGACGCTGAATTGTATGTGTGTTTTTTTGTTGTTTTGCCTAGATGAAAATCTCGTCTCGTGTGGAATACATCACTTCCACATTCACTAATCGACGCCAATTTTCCACCTGACGTCAATAATTCCCACGTTGATTTGTTGGATCGCTTATTTCACCTGTCAAATTGAATATTTTGATCACTGCTCGCTTTTTTCATTTTCAAGCTTTGACGTTGGAGAAGCCGAATTCCAATTAAGTCACATTTGGGATTGTTGAAATCCAAAAAATATAGGCCCACATTCAATGTGATTCATTCGTCTTTTTGAGTTGTGGCTGTTGTTGGGTAGATGGCCGCGGCATAGAAAAGCGCGCTGAGGCCACGGCCACGTCTTTAATGATTTATTTTCAAAATCTTTGACATTTGAATTTGGAAGCACTTCATTTTTCAAATGTTTTTTTTTATTCGAATCTTAAAAAGGTTATTATTTCTTTCTTTAATTGTGATCCGCGCTGAAAAACTGATCGGAAGTCAGATGACGAAGTGTGAGTAGAATTCAAATTTTTCAAATTCGCGCTGACATCATTTTTCGTCAAATTTGTTTTTTTTTAATAATTCAACTTTCCATCTCTTGTGAAATTCCAAATTTTAAGTCATCGTTTTAAAAAGTTATTGAATGGATGGCCGCGGCCTAGAATAGCATGACATGGCCACGGCCCCAAATAACCTAGTAACCGTTCTCTGCTGCATTTAAGACCTCCCCCACCCAAATATGGTCCTGGGTGACCTTGAAGAATCCCCTTGCAATGCGGATGGGTGGGAATGCGAAGGAAAAGCGGCAAACAAACCAAATTTGCACTTTTCGTTCTTGAATCCGATCGCCACTGTTGCAAAAGTCGGCTCGTACAATTAGAATTAATCTCAATTATATAATAGACAACATTTTGCAGAGGGGCGAAAAATAGAATAAAAATAAATATAAGACAAATTAACTCAGAAATTTAGTGTAAATGCGCGTCAACTCTAATGTGTGTGTACGCACCGTGATTTGTACTACCGTAACCGCAGGATTTAAATAGGCTGCTCGCAACAAGATGATTTGACAGATCTCGAACCCCCCCAATTTTGCTTAGTCCATCATCTTCTACTCCTTCCTCATCATGAAGAATTTGTTTTTTTTTCTCTCTTTGTGAACTTTTTTTTTCCCGCCGGTTGCCTCCCGTCGAATTCGCCAACCAGCCAACACATTCTCGGCATATCGCCTCATCTTCTCTTCAAGGAAAACGAGAGGAAGAAGAAGAAGGAAAAAAAAGCAGAACATGCGAAAAAAATTTCGTCGAGTTTCTCTCGTGCCCTCTCTCCTCGAGAGGGGGGGGGCCGATTTTTTTTTTCGTGGCCGACTTCGCCTTCAATCTCTTTGCAGCCGTTTTTTTTTGTTTCGCCACGGGCGAGCCCGTCTCTCCGCTCTTCTGCGCGGAGCACACACTCACAACCCAAACGTCTATCTATCGTTTCTTTATTTCTTTTGCCTCCCATTGCAATTTCGGCTTGAAAAATGTTTCAATTCATTTTTTTTTTCGTGTCCACGTCTTATCAATCTTCAAATTTTGTGGAGCGCGATGTCGATCAAACTCATTCGATCTCTGAAACAATTCATCATGCTCGCAATTTTCGACGGCTCAAAATTTCTGTGGCACTTTTAAAAGTTTGCACTTTTCGAAGTGCCATTGCCAATTTTTTGATCTCCTTTCCATCGTGTTCACACATTTCCAAGTATGCATGCGGAACTCAACGCTAATCGAATTATCGCCGATTTTTCGAAAATCCCAGCATTTGCTCACGTATCGAGATTTGATCTACCCGCCGTCAAACTAATTTTTTGATTTCTGAAATATTTCTGAGCACGACGTCCCTCCCATCTAATAGCCTGAGATCGGTGAGCTTGGAGGACTCAATTGAAGGTTGCCAATCTCGCATAATTATGATGGGCCAGCTGTTATAAATTGGCACACCCTGCTTCTTGCTCAAAATCGTAGTTCAAGAGTTCGAGCTCCTCAAATTTGATTAGAATCTTCTCGTTTTAATTGCATTGCACTTTGTACGTGAGTAATCGAAAATCTTTTCCAAATTATGCGAATTACTTTTTTTCGATTTATAATATCAAATCCCAAGCGCGCATTTCAAAACTCTTTCAACGACGAAAAAAAAAGTTTTGACCTAGTCAATTAATTTGATAAAGTGATTATCAAGTGTTATCAATAACGATTCGAGTTCGACAATGTTTGGTAAACATTTTTGAAATGAAAATTGGAAATATTTGAATGTTGCCATTTTAAAGGCGCTTACATCAGTTTCAGTTGGTTGGGTCTCACGGCGAACTCGAGCTACGCTCCGCCCAAACAAATGTTGATCTACTGATCTTCGAGCGTTTTGCTCATTCTATTCTCCACCGCAATGATTGAAATCCTCCATAATCTCAAATGTCAAAAATAAACCGGACCATCTTAATTTTCTTTTTGTATTTTATTTTTGTGCTAAACAAAACATCTAAAATAGTAAGAAGATTGCGAAAAAACTATATCTAACAATTTTTGAGTCATTATTTTTGAAGTTGATTGCCGAGTTGGGTCTCGTGGCGATTGTCCGTATGGACTACACAGACGCACTTCTTCCTCGCAAGACCATCGAAAACCCAAAATTTTCAATCAATTCAACTTCAGTCTAGTCGAAAAATCAAAAATCGACAAAAAGTTATTGAAAGACAAATTAATCACTGTCGAAAACGATAAGGCAACTTCCGGCCGGTCCGATTTTCGAAGAAGATTGCTTCTTTTTTTTTGTCGTCTCGCCAAAATGTTATCATTTCGAATATTTTCTTTGGTTTGGTGTTATCCCAAAATTCATTCGATTACTTTTCTCCTCATCTTGTCTCTTCCACAATTTTCAAAAAAGAAAAATTCCAGCATCACGTTGGATCCGTTAAACAATCCGGCGGAATGGGTTGATCCCAACAACAGGATGCACACCGAAATCGGCGCCAATTATTATGCGCCGAGGCGCTCGATTTCAACGGTGACGGGTCCGAATCGGCGCGAAATGGACGCATTTTATAGTCAGCATTTTAGAAATAAGGTAATTCGGTCTTTTTTTTGACACAAATTGAAGAGCACTCAACCGCACTCGTTTTAATTAAGCTCTTCTTTTTTTTTTCATGTGACCTCACAAATCTCATTGGGTGGCCGCGCTTTTGAAAATAATGAAGAATAGTTGAACATTGACCTTTTTAAAAAGAGAGCTTGCAATTATTCTAATCGTTCTATTAATTATATTTATATAGTAAAGAAAAAAATACATTTTTTTTAATTGGAATCGCTCACTAAAAAATTAGTGAGAACTTGAAAAAACAGAAATTCTGAGATTCCTTATAAATGGGTTTTGAAAAAAATTGAATTCAAATATTAATTAATATATTGTCGGCGTCTAACTATTAAAGGAGGTGGACATTCAAATTCGCGAAATTAGTGTAGATTTAAATTTTTCGTTGACTGAATATTAAATGCGCGTACACTATAATGCAATGTACGCAGTCACGCGTGAGACGCATTCACACATTGCCAATAATTTTTTTTAATTTTGTCAAGTAGTTAAACTCTGACAATAATATTTTTTAATTTTTCGAAAATTCAATTTAAATTTATATTATTAAAGGCGATTTTTTCCTATTTTTTGCGAAAATATTCTTTGGAAAATTTCCAATCGATTGATGTAGGTCCCATAGTTACACAAACTTCTAGTTATCGAGATAGGGACCATCAAAGTTAGCAGATCCCTCTTGTGAATTTTATATTTAAAAAATTTGTTGAAGAAATGTGATATGCTAAAAAAATTAATCTCAAAATTTCAAACCCCTTATAAATTTATTAATTTCTTTCAAAAAATTTTTCTTTGCTAATTACAACTTAATTACTTCTCGCTGTCCCGATACGCATTGGCACATTGCCAATCATTTTTTTAAAATTTCTTCAAATCGTTTGACTCCGACAATTGGGATTGCTAACCAATTTTTCTGCTGAAATACTGTAGATCAAAAAAATGGATTGAGACGGAATACTGTAGAAATCTGCATTTTTGCGTGATTCGAATAAAATCTCAAACATTTCTTATAAAAAAATGGTTTAAGACAAATGGCTTTGATATTTTTCTGAAATTTTCAAAAAAAATGGAATATTTGAATATTGCAACGAGTGGCACGCGCCTTTAAATATTCAAACATTTCGTTTTAAGACCCATTCCAATAATTTCTTTTTTTCTAGCCAACTGAACAAATATGTAACTGTTATAATTTTTTTGCAGTACAATAGCCAAGAGGAAACGCCTCGTCCCTCAATCGTCACCGGTCAGTCGAATCAGCCGGCGACGTTGCAGAAGGATGAGATCTCTTTCGATCCGATACGCTTCTCTCCGCCGCACTTCACACCGCCGCCGTCGTTTCCGGTAACGACCAATTTCCTGTGTTACAAATATGGGGCAAATCGAACCAAGCTGTTCATACATTTTGTTGGTGTGCCAAACACACACACACACATAAGGAATCGGTTTACATTTGTACTACAAATGATTTAAATCATACATCAGAATTGCAAGGGGGGAAGCTGGGGGGGGAATCCTTTCCTCTCTTCTAGAATAAAATCCGAATGAATTTTAGGAGCAGCCGATGAAGCGCGGATGCGTGCGATTCGATGATCTCCAATCACATCCGCAGAATAATTTCATGATGGTTGGAATCATTAAATTTGCATTTGAACGCCACTATCAATTTCAGACAAATCCACAAGTGCCACCGAGAAAATGTAGTCTTGCGCCCAACTTCTTCTCATCCCAAAATTCGCATCACGTCTATCCAGATCAATATGTAAGCAATTTCGATTTTGTGCATGATTGAATTCGATTTTCAAATTCAAAAAATCAATAATTATATGTTTAAATGGTGTAAAAGTGTCACAGATTTCGTCACTTACTTACTTGGTCACTTAGTCGGTTCGTCCTTCGCCTGTTGAGCCACAGCTTTCCAAGCTTTTCGGTCTTTGGCTTGGAGGTGATAACGGCTCCTTCAGCTGTTCTTGTAGTGATCTCCTTCCGAAGCGAGTCCGACCATCTCATGGGAGGCCTTTCTCTTGGCCGGGTTCCAGTCCATCTTCCATCTGTTCTTCTAGCAACGTGTCCAGCCCCCAAAAGTCACACATTTCGTACAATCTCATTTTCATTTCATTTTTCGAACAAAATCTGTGCGAAACGAAATGTGTGCAAAATTGCGTCAGTGTGCTGGCAGAAAAAAATCGGCTTTTGAATACATTTTATTTTTAGTTCCAGGTTTCATTTTTTAACCAAAATTTTCAAATCCCATTGTCTTGATTTGAAACAAGCATTAAAAATTAATACCACAATATACTTGCTTATATACCGGCGCAGCAATAAACGAGGACCTGCCGGTATTTGTGGACCATTGAAATTTTTTGGGGCGGTAGTTCCGAATTTAAATTTAAGGAAAATATTCGTGCAACACGAATTGTAAAAAAATACACATTTTTCCTATGAAGCGATGCAAAAAAATGCAATGGGTACTGTAATTGAATGACGAGACCCACGAAGAAATTTGTTGCCGTGCGTCTTTTTTTTGTACAACATTTTGGTAACACTACTGGATTTTAAGTGAGAATCTTGACGAAAAACATAAAAATAAAAATAATTGTTTGAAAAAAAATACGAGAATTTTATTCAATGAACGAGGAAAAAAATTAGAAAATTTAAGTCAGACAAAATTTTTTTAATGAGAGTTTTTTTGCATTGCTGCATTGAAAAAATTTAAAAGGGCTAATTTTTAAAAGTATACAAAATATGAGAAAAATAATACTGTTGAGCGACTTTGGAAAATTGGCCAAATGCCAAAAAATTAAAAAATAGGTCTCGGTGGGCGGTGTGCGCCTTTAATCGCTACTTACGCCCGTAAATCTACACCATTAGTTTTGCCAATTTTTTGACAATCCAATTTTTTAAAATTGCAATTCCAAAAGCAGGGGCGAATACCGAAAACCCTAACTCGCCGTAAATCTACAAAAGGTGCTCGATATTTTTTTTTGCGATTTTCATTATTCTATCCAGATTTTTGGGGGAAGAAAATTCGAAAAAAAAATCTACATTTATAATATATGATTATCGGAAAAATTGAAAATTGTTGGGTTCAAGCTGTCTATTTCAAATGAACTTCCTATTTTCACAGTCTCATTTTCCGTTCGAGACAACTGTTCATTTCACAAAATTAAACCTTTCAGCCATTATGAAAATTTGTATAAATTTTATCACAAATTAATTGCAAAAATTTTAACGAGAAGAGGCAACGAACCAACACCCCATGGGGTGGCCACTTTTAAGGTGTTTGCGAATGTTTAGAGTTTCAGCTGATGCTTCAGGTATTTCAGGCAAGTCTATTGGACTGAAAAGAGGTCCTCCCGTTTGAAGAGGGTTCTCATTTCTATGCATGACGTCAGAAATTTAGATACAAAAGCAAGGTCAAAAATATGCAAATTGTTTTAATAACTTTAAAAACATCAACATTTTGTATAACAATAGTATTCGAAAAATTGAAAACAGTCCATAGAGATTCTGAAATATTGATCCTTCACCCCATTTCACAATCGTTTTCATGTTTCAAAAAATTCTATTAACTTTCATGGCTTTGCTAGAATATGATTCAAACACTTTGAACAACATTATAATTGATACACGGATTTTTGCAAAATAGTTTTCTGAAAACTGCAATACGCTGATATATTGCGGTTGCCGCAAATGGGGGCCCCTCGCATTTGATGGCCTCGCGAGAGTCCTTAGAGAGCCCCGCTTACGGCCCGCAGTTGCCCCCTGAGAACCCCGCATTATTTTCACCCGCGCGGGGCCCCTCCATTCCCATTGAACGCAAATCATCCGCGCCAGCCCTTCTGAGATATTCACCGGCGCGGGGCCCGCCAATTTTCACCGAGAATTGATAACCCGTACACTTTCCAATGAACCGCCGGTGCGTGGCAGGGCCCCAACGCAATGGGGTATTTGTGCGTGGTGTTGGCGAAAATCAAGAAAATTAAAAAAAAAACATGATGGTTCAAAATTTGAAACTTCGGACCCAAAATTTTGGGAGTTTTTGGAACTAGCAGAAAACGGCATCGCACGATCTGTTTGTGTGGAAAATTCGAAAAATTCCAAACCAAAAAGTCTATAAAAACATCTTCCTTGTTAGATATGTTTTTTTTTTCGAAGTCTGCCCAGCACTACAATATTTTTTCATTGCTTTTTTATTTCAAAATTTGCAGACACCACGCACATGGCCACATAATGACAATATGGCTTCGTCGATGCAACTGCATCACCAACACCCGCATAATCAGCATCATCCGCCGCAGCGAATGCAGGCAAGGAATTACACGCCGAATGGTCTATCGCATTGGGAGGTTCGTCTACACATATAATTATTCAAATTAGCGGTCTCGTTGAACTTTTCGAGGAATATGAGAGGAACAGATTTAAAACATTCGCAATTCTTTTTTCTTGGAATCCATTATTTCGTTGAGCACGCGTTGAGTGCTCTCAACTCTTTTTTTTCATAGATCATAGGACTCTCATTTCCCAAGTCGCCCAAATTTGGCAATTATGTCCCAACCTAATTATTCAATTTTTTGTGACTCTAAAAATGGCTAGCTCTGGTTTTTTTTTCGAAAATCTAAATTATATACATATATATTATATAATTTATGTGATTTATGTGCTTCGAGATTTATTCGAATTCACCTGCGAGCCTAGTAAATCATGAGAATTGAGATATCAAACCAAATTTTCACATTCTCGCCATCACCAAAAAATTTCCAGTCCAGCTTTATTTATGATATTCTAGGGACCACACCAACCAACCCAGCATCAGCCTCTCGCCAGCATAATGAAGAAGGTGCCGTCTCAACATCCGTCTGTCCAAATAAGGGTTGAGCACTCTGCGGACAACAGGTGAGCAAAATAATATCTGATTATTGTAGTTTTTTTTCCCCGAATTTTTCTGCCCTAAAAAATTGGAGGTTGTGAGTTTCTCCAGGCAAAATCTCGAATTTTTCAAAAATAAATTTTTGGGACAACAAACGACGAAAAAAATTTCCCACAAGCGACTTTTTTTTGGCCTATTTGCCATTTGAAATTTATTTTTTTCGAGTTGCTCACGTTTCGCCGAATTGGCTAAATGCCAAAATTTTTGATGAAAAAATCTCTTTCTTCGTTTTTTAAAAAATTAGAAAAAAACATTTTTTTAATTTGACCCTTTGCCAAAACAAATTTTGGAAATAAAAAATCGAAAAAGCGATTAGAGTTGTTCATATTTTTTTCAATCCCATTCAATTCTTCTCCCCGCCAATTTTTTTCGCTTCGAGACTTGTTTTGTCAACAACACCTTTTTTCCCCATGCACAATATCATAATCCAATCGCTTCCATTTTGCCAAATATGATTTTCTCGAATGTTTTGACGAGATTAAAATTTGATTTTTGGTTTTTCTGGTATTTTTTTTCTTATAGCAGTTTTCTGATCTGGAAAATCATTGATGATAATCGGTTTAAGCGATGATTAATGAGACATGCGAAATTGAGAAAGACGAAATGAATATCTTCAGCTTAAATGCTAGATTAACATTTGTCGGACGGCATTTTCCAAGAACGGATTTATTTCGCCAAAAATTGCTCGTTTCAAGATGAAATTTTCGGGGTCTGTGTGTACTCCACACGGATGACTCGTAAATCGACCCTGCAATCGATTGATTCGTTCCAAATTCAGTTTTGAAGCGTCGAAAAAAAACCACCAGAAAAATTTGATAGCCATATTTGGAGAAAAACTGGAAACATGTGAAATAAAATATTCCAGAATCCACTGGTTTTTTTTTCCGAAAAAAAAACGCGAAATTCGTTTTTTTAGTTTTTCGTTCGATTTTTTCAACTATTGTTGAGAAAAATGTTTTCTTTTTAAATTTCTCCTGTTTTCACCACAAAAAATATCGTTTAAAATTGCTTATTCTGCTAAATAAATTTTCTGCGAAATTTAAATAACAAAATTTCGAAGGGAAATACGAAAATTGAGCGAAAAATAAAAAAATGAATATGTGATATTAAAAAAAAATGTCCCCGTAAATCACTGCGAGGATTACGGTAACTGTCTCTTAGCATTGCGTACAAAACGCAGGATCCCACGACACCTGGATACATTTGTCATTTTTCCACCATGGTTTTTGCAATTTTTGCAAAACAAGAAAAATTGGACGACAATGATGATACGTTATCAGTCGTCAACATGCACTTGTTCAAATTTTCGCCATTTCATTTCAATCATGCCGGTTTTTTTCTTTTTCGTCATTCACTTCTCCATTTAATGATTCGCTTTGCTTCAACCCGATGCAATTTTTTCCAAAAAAAAACCCCAAAATATTGACTCGGCCAAACGATTTTTTCATTACAAAAAACCCTACCAAATAATATTCCATGAATTCTATAATATTTCAGACTTTTTTTTTAAATTTATTGACCTTGTTAGATTTTTGAAAACGCTTTGAAAAATAAGAATTTTTTATTTTAGATTATTTCAAATAAATTTTCTGAAATATGTATTATTTAAGATTTTTTTAAAATATTTTAGTATTTATAAATTATTGGCCAATTATAATACAGCTTGAGGAATGCACCAAAAATTGGTGGCGTGCGCCTTTAATCGATGAATCAATTTTTTGCTCCGTAAATCGACACCTCCCTAGTGATTATTTTTAAACGGCAATTAGCCAATTTCCAGCCATCCAATTTAAGTCAGCATAGGCTTAAAATCGCATAGAGTCCAGTATAAAGGTTTTCCTCATATTTTTGATAATCAATAGTTCAAAGAGAGACCCCATCTTCAAAAAGAAAATTTTTTGAGCTCGAAAAATGAACAATAATCTTTAAGAGTCCCATGCAACTAAATAAATCTGACAAATTTTTAACACCGATTTTTTTTGCTCGAAAATCTGTCTGCCTAATAATCGAGACAATATCAATATCCTCACAAATCGCCTTGTTTTCATATTCGAGCTATCAAAAATCCAAAAAAAAAAGAAAAAAGAGATTATCGGGGGAGAAGCAAATGCATATAGAATTTTGTTGATCGTTTGAACTTTTCTTTCATATTTCAAGAAAACGACAAAAAAAGAAAAATAAATAAATAAACCGAGTTTTATTTATGGGCTAAGCTTTTGCGTAAAGAAAAAATCTTTTTTTTTATTTGCAAAAAAAAATGCAAGGATTTTTCCAAAAGATTTTTCGGGCCCATTTTTGGTGAATAAAATTATCCCAATCAAATTTCTTCGCTGAATCGATCGTCTTCGTTTTTTTCTACCAATCTCTCGTCAACAAGTTTCAGTCAATTAAAACGTGACCGGGGAAGAATTCATCAAATTCGACGTCGACAATATTTCCTTCTTCAAGTTTTTCACCCAATTTTTATTTTCTCATAGAGTTCATTATACATTTATAATAATAGAAATATGTTCAATACCATTTGAGAACGTGTGAAAATTACAAATATGTGACGTTCTCTTTACCATATTTAGCCGATCTTAAGTGATCAAAGGTCAAAATTTTTGCTTTTTTTTTGTTGTCCCAATCCCCTCAATAATCGATTTTGGATTGAAAACGCCAGAAGCTTAAGGCGACTGGCGATCATTGAACAAAACGATGTACAATTAATATTTTGTTTTTCACCGCCGGCCTTCTCTCATTTTCGCTCGTTCAAAGACCCCACTGAGAACCTGTATTTTCTTATTATTTTTCTATTGATTGAATCGCCAAAAATTTGGTTTCTTCTAGCTTCCTTCAACCATCGAACAACGCCGACTTTCGTCCGATGCCCAATATGCTCTCGCCAATGAAGGTAAGCGACCACACACACGACAAAATAAATAGTCGACGAAATCGGAGGCCTCAACTTTTTTTTTTGATTGCTGCTCGCGATCAATCACCTTTGAGTGCTTATTCAAACCTTGACTCCATTTTCTTTTTGACTCTTCAATCGCATAGCGGTGATTATCAAAAAATTATCAAGTGTTTTTGGGAAAAATTGAAGAATTTCGCCAACAATTTCCAAAACTAAAAAAAAAACATAATTAGACATATTTATTGGATTGGTGAAGTCGTTGTGTTTTGGTGGGAATCAAGGTACACGAGACTTTGAACTCAAATTACGAGTACACAACATTTCACCACATAAGTGGAATTCCAATTTCTGCATAATTATAGCTTTATCATACAACAATAATGTAGTCTAGGTAAATAATATGGTTTAAAAAATGGAAATTCTGAAACCAAATTGGAATGGTTGGTTAGTTTTTTTTTTCTCATCAAACATGATTATCCGCCTTTTTCTGCAGCGAACCGGTATTGAACAGAGAAAAAAAAATAATGAATCACTAGTTGAAAGGGCGGATTTGGAGCGAAACAAATAAAAAATGATTCAGATGGATATTGATGAGGAAATTGGGGGTCCGAGCGCGAAATTGTCAACATCATTTCTGATTTCGCCGTTGAGCGGACAGCCGATTGGCGAGAACCAACACAAACGATCGCATCCGAATGTTCCATCGCGTAAGGCGTCGATAATGGCGCTCAAAAGGTGCGTTCGCCAATTTTACTTTTTCTTGTCTCATCGTTGTTATTTATTCTTTTTTATTGTTCCTAACCCTTCACTCCCCCTAGTCTACTACTAGCCGACCTCATACTAAGTATTTATGAGAGTGCGACGAGGCTGAAGGCGAATGAAGGGGGGGGGTGTTGAGCGCTGGCTGCTCACGAGATGAATGTGTGTAGCTTGATTATTTTTGAGTAGCCGCCGTCGTGGACAACCCGACAAGAATTTCCAAAATTGCCTCATTTCTGTCGGTGTCGAATAAACGCGCTTTATTCAATCGCGGTCATTTTTGCGGTTCAAACCAATGTAGCCATCGCGATTGATTCCCAAATTGTTGTTCAACGAAACAAGTGTCGAAGATCGCCGCCTTGATAATTATAATGCACTCAGATACACTAGGTGTGTTGTTGATCAATTGAACTCTGCCTTTGGGGGGGGGGGGCGGGTTATTAGGGATGCAATTAAGAAAGCGCGTGGATTCGATCATCAACAATCAATTTGCACGCGGTGCTGATAACAAGAAGGCGATTTTTCAAAAACATTTGCACATTTCAACGCTCGCCACTTGGTCTGGTATCGCCGCACCGACGCGACTGATTAGGCGATACGCTGCTCTTTTGGTCCCCACTCCCTGTCGACACAAACATTTCCAAACATCGTTCCGTTTCTCGTCGTCCGCTTACCATCGCCGCAGCGGCGAACATTGACAAACATCAGCAGCCCCGTCGGGTTTTATTGTCATTTTTTGTCGATTCACGTTTGTCGATTCAGCTGCAAACGATCCCTCATACATTTTTCACTTCATTTTTTCCCCTAGGATCAATATTTTCTAATACATTTCTTTTTTTTTTTTTTGAAACCCGAAATTTTGAAAACAAAATTGGTGCGGCGTTCGATGTCAAAATGACATCATCAACAAAAAAAAATTGGTGTGCAAATATTTTATTGCCAATATTATTTTTCAGCTGTGAGGGAGCGCGAAAAAAAGGGGCGTTTTTTGCTATCGTCCAAACGAATTTTTTGTTTTCGCCGAAAGTTGCTCCACAACACTATTGTTTCATTGTTCTTCATTGATGTTCAGGGCCAGGCGTCTAGACTTTTGAACATTGTAATTAAAACGCGAAAAAAAAACCTCACCAATATGTAGAACACTTCACCTGAAGGGTGAGCGCCGCGCTGAGAATCGCCTGTTGTTTTTTCGTCCATCATGTGTCACATGCCTTTCTTTGGAATTGCTTTGCAAATAATTTTTCGTTTCGCCCTCCCACATGCGATGCCGCCGTCTGGAATCATGGAAGAATTGAACGCCACGAATGATAACAGACAGGCTAGACAGACACTTTGATTTGTTTGCATATTCCTTCATCATATTGTTCTTTTTCGTCGGCAGCAGCTGAACGCGTTTTTCCATTAATTTGCATAGACTTCCTGTTCGCCGCTTTATTATTATTCATTTTTTTGGCTCGTCTTCTTTCCTCTGCAAAAAAAAATCATCCGCGCCTACTTTTGTTTTCATTGCGCAAATTTAATTAAATTATTCGTTTCCAAGTTTAGCATTTACGTTTGTTGTTTGGAAATGCGCGAGATTTCGTTGAATATCCGAGCATTCATTGTGGAAATTAGTCGATTTTTTTGTTTAATGAACATAATTGCTCAGATTGCTGCAAATGCGCTTACAATTTTCTGAAACAAAAATAAGTTAACTTTTTTTGTTTTGAATATTTCAGAATTACTTGAATCAATTTAATCCATTGTTTTTAAGTGATTGAGGACTCGAACAGAGATTCGAATTCAAACTGGTTTTTCTAAAGAAAGCTTCTGAGATCGATTATAGCGGCTAGTTTACTGACATTCTCACTTTTTTCAAGTTCTAGGCTACAATACATTTTGCAATTTCCATGCTTCCACTAAACATTGTGTCGATTTAGCTGAAAATATCAAAATAAATAACTGAAACGAAATAAAAATTGTCGCAACTAAAAATGAGGCGGCCGGCAATCTCGCGGCCATCTTGACTTCGGCCAGTAAAATGAATTTAATTAATTTGACCCGAAAGCGGTGATTCTCGCGAAGAAAAAAACTATTGATCGATCTTATCTCGTTGTTCGCAACATTAAACAAATCGACTAATCGCGAAATGTTGTGTTTTCACTCGAAGATTCCTATCGCTCGTTAAATGTGTTCCAGAAGTGGCGGCTTTTCAAACTTTCATCCATAGATTGTTTTTCGTTTATTTCCTCGCCATTTGGTCCAATAAACAACAATTGTCAATGATCGACTTGTAAACTAAAAGAAGGCGAAAAAAAAGATGTTTGAATTGTCCAAAGTAAAAACAAAAAAATTATAACTGCGATCTCAAATTGCATTTCATTATTTGTTGACGTCTACTAGCTATGTAGTGGCACTAAATTGAATAGATATGCTTTTCTCGATGCAACAGCGCCTCTGGATTTCAACAATGCATCTCAAGATGATTTCTGTTCGCTTGCGTTTTCCCTTTCGACGAAAAAAAAGCGAGAGAACAAACCGAAGGGACCCCTTTTGAAGAGTATTTAGACGGAGTGCGGCGCAATTTTTTTTGCATGCAAAACGAAAAACGAAGAAGGCGGACGAAGAAAAAAAAAGGCACCGAGTGTCTCGGTCGTTTTTTTTTTGGCCTTCTTGCATTTTTTTTTGCTATCCTGCTTTTTTGCAGAAGCAGCAGCAGCAGCCGCGAAAGCAATAACAACAGGGGTCCGGCAGTCAGTCATTCTGCCACCCTCAAACAAGAGCAACACAAGAAAAGAGAAAGCGAAAAAAAAACACGCATACAAACATACATACACAAAATGATGATTTGTCTCGTGACCCCCCTCCCCCTATTTTTTCTTCCTTCAAAAATCCTCGCCTTCATCGAGCCCCGGATGATTTTTTTTTGCTGGTGCTCCATGCTCGATGTTTGCAGAAATGAGATGAACATTGGTTTGCGGCTCGATTTTTGTGGTCCCTTTTCACCGATGCTCTCGTTTTTTGCTCTCTCTCTCTCTTTTCACGAAACAGCAAAGATGAAAAAAAAAAACACAAACATCGAACCGAAATTATTGGGTTTGACGAAATAATTAGAGGTCGGATATTGTCGGCCGACGAATTCAGATCAAAACGCGCTTATTCATTGTCTGGTGACATGTGTGAAAATAGAATTTTAATACGCATTTCCAGTATTGCCTGAAAATTGTTGAAATTGGCAGCTGAGAAAAATAGAAGAATTGCATCGAGTCCTAGTCTAGCCTTAAAATTTTTGCATCTCCCTACCGTATCCTCAAGACCCCGCCCCCTTTTTCTCAATTATAATACCGAATTAGTAGATGAATATCGAAAACATTGAATTGACTAATCGAAAATTTTTTCGCGCCACCTCCTGCGCCTTTAATTTGTATTCGATTTCAAGTTTCTCCGAAATTCTAAAAAAAAACATCCAAATATCGTCCAATAAATATTTGCACTTTGCTTTATAATTATTCACGTTTTTTTTTCCGGCCAAGCTCTCTCGAGAAAAACATTTTTTCTCGTTGAGACCGGGTTGTCCCAAAAAAAAAGCAAAGCGATCCGGAGGTCTCGCCAAATTTCGAATTCTCGTCGGCCAGAATTTCAGGTCTCTCCGAGCGCGCACAGCAGCGCGCCCTTTCTTCTATTTTTACGTACCCATGCAAATTTGCACTTTTTTTCCACCACCCCCCCCCACCCCTTCTATGCAACGCATAGAAGCGACGTGTGTCTCGTCGTCGTCGCCGGAGCCCAGGGAGCCACTAGGCTTTCTAGTATATCTTGTGTGCTCGTCGGCTCCCTAAAAATATCTCCTATTCGGCGGCTATTTTTTTCCCCTTCCTTCGTCGTCTTGTTCGTGCTTTCGAATATGTATTTTTTTTGGTTGTTGCTGCTGGCTGCTATGCTGCTGAGCAGCATTTTTTTTTCGCCGTCACGTCGAGGTCATGTTTGATCGTCTGGATCAAGATTTTGTTCGTCGGCGCCCAATTTCTGGCCGTCCCGCGTTCGGCGTTTCCTTCTTTTTTGTTGTTGCTTTAGCTCAATGAGCACCAACGTCTTGTTAGTCCATCCGAGAAAGCCAATTATTCACTGAGACATTGGGACCCATTTCATTTGTGCTAGGCGCTTGGGGGAGGGGGGGGAGTACCATTAACAAATAGTGACGCCACAATTTTCAGTTTTGCCATCCCATTTTGATTTGATGACACTCTCAAAAGAAGAAAATTTGTTTTTCCTTATTCAGACGCATTTGGAATAATAATAATTTGGCGTTGATTGCACTCTAAGGGTTCTCCATAATTGGTGGGTGGGCACCGAATTTTGAGCACTTGATATGATCCGATATTTGTTTCAACCTTCCTCTCATTCCCCACTTTTCTTCAGACCGTCTCAAATTGCAAAATAGGGTGGCTATTGAATTTCGGAAAAAATCGAATTCATCACAAAAGCGGTGCAACATTTCCTTATATTAAATTGAAGGAAAAAAAAGCTTTATGAATCACTATTTCCTTTTTTGTCAAAATGAAAAAGTTTTGTCATTTTTTCCATTTGCAAGCTTATCAAAAAAAAATCCTTACAATTCCGGTTTTTTTCATTCCAATCAAAAAAAAAAGAGATCGTTGGAAGTGAAATGTTTGGCAATCAAAGATTGTGGCGATGTTTGAAGAAGAAAAAAAGAATGACTGAAAACAATTTTTTTTGGACGGCTGTTTGTCTGCAATTGTGCCGATATTGGCCTCCGACCTCCAATCGAAAACAATCCATTTTTGCTCTTTGTTTCCACTCGATTTTTTTTATCAGAAATTTCGATTTGTAGTGAGCTCGTGCAAAACGACAAATTTCGGTGGGTTCTGCGATAAGTCGAAATGAGCGCGAAACAAAAAAAAAACGAATTCAAACATTTTTAATGATTTTTTGATAAGAAATTGGAAATGGCCTCATTCCCCATTCCATTATAGTATTGTATGTTGGCTAGAATCCTCATCTGAATTTTGTTGAAAATTTCTTTTTAGACATTTTTTTCTTTTTCAATTTTTTTTTGGAAATTCGAATTAAAAATTGGAAACGATTTTCTGTCATTTTTTTTCTTTAATAAAATTTTATTTTGGCACCAAAAAAAAATGGAACACTAATAATCCAACGATAATCCATCTGAATGATACTCCCACATGCACATTCTTTTTTTTTTGTTTTAAAGAAGGTTGTACATAATTTTTGATCGTCACCCTCATGATTCGCGTGTTCAACCCATCAATTTTTATTGTCATACACACATATTTGGAATTGAATCAAAGACCATCGCCGAACCTTTTTTTTCGGGGGCGACGACGGGTCTTGTGACAGTTGTTGCACAAAACATTTTTTATAATCGTTCACACTTTTGGATTTTTGCAGCCAACTTCGAAATCCACGCGGGCATCAAGTACACAAAACATCGCAGGGTGAGATTCCCTATACGCCGCCGCCCATATTGGCACCAATGCGGAACGGTTCCGGACTCTTCTGCTCGATTGCCAAATCAATCACGAATCATCAAAACTCGGAGGTTTGGCATCCAATTTGATCGCACTATTGTTTGATGATGGCGATGCCGCTTTCAGATTTCCGATGGTCCAAGTTGTAGTGGCGGCGATCAGCGCAATTCGAAAATGTTGATGAACGGCAAGAAGAAGAGCGATGATGGGAGTGATGGGCCGTCGAGGAAGAATGGGTTCACCTACATGGCGCAGCAGATCAATCAGCCGAATTTCGCCGACGAGCTCGAGGCGCTCCGCAAAGAGTCATGGGCGTCGACGTCGTCGCAAGAGGATCGCCCGATTCGCAAGAAGTCGATCGATCCGGAATACATTCGCAAAATCTCGTGCATGTCGGACACCTATTACGACATGCCTCAAGCCGACGGGCCGCACGTCAGCGATCCGAACCCGTAAGTTGCGATTCCCGATGATTCGGTGACGACGAATTGATTAAAGGCACATCAATGTTGGTCGAGAGTATCAAGCGCGTGTGCGAAAATGGAACGAGCGCGAGGTTCATCCAAGCGAACTCGACGCCATTGAAGACCGAGACGAGATCGTGTTCTCATCGTCGATTTTGGACGACATCGATCCCGACCAGAGTAGGCGCAATTGTTCCATCAATTTTTCGAGTTTGCTCATTTCATCATTCGCTACAGTAACCGCGTTCGAGCTTCTCGCGTGCAGCCAAGCGTGCCCGCGCGCCGGCCGCAACAAGGAGCTGGCGTTGCATCTGCTCATGGAGAACAAGGGCAACATCGATGCGGCCGTCGAGGATCTCCTCCGTTGCGACACGCTCGACTGGGAGCACTACTCGATCGTCTTCGGATATTTGTACAATGATTCGGTGTTGTGGACGCCCGAAGAAGTCTATCAATTCCAGGACGCCATCTACAAATCGGAGAAGGATTTCGACAAAGTCGCCCAAGAGGTTTTTCACCAACAAATTTTTATTCTTTTAAATAAATTTCTCGCGATTCAGCTGCCTGGCAAAACTATCAAAGAATGCGTTCAATTTTATTACACATGGAAGAAGACTTGTCCTGACGACTACCGGAAGTTGAGGAACCTTCGACGGAAGCGAAGATTGCTCGAGATGAATCTTCAGGTATATTTTGATGGCCATTCTTCATGATCATTTTTATCGTTTTTAATATTTTTAGGCAATGGAGGATGATCCGATTCCGATGAAGAAGTGCTCACTTCAAGAATCGGTTGAGTCCGACGCCGAGTCCGACACGACGACGCATTCGGTCAACGCGCCATCCGCCGAATTTCGCGATCGTTCATTGTAAACCATCATCGGGTGATTGCAAATTTTTCAATATGAGATTTTCAGCACATCGCCAATCATTTCGTCGCCGCGCGCCTCACCATTGGTGACCGGATCGCCAATGGCGAAAGATTTTTCTGGAATTCAAAAGAATTACCAACCGGTATGACATCGTTTTGGTGTTCAAAAAAAATTTTTGAATTCAGTTGGCGCCACGTCATCATTCGACGAACGCGACGAGCAAAAAAGGTGCTCAGCCAAGCGCCGACGGCTTCTTCCATTGTCGACTCTGCGATAAATGCTTCGAGAAGGTCAAAGTGAGTTTTGACATTGAATCGAATTTGAATCGGGATTCCCATTTTTGCAGTCGTTGAATGCTCACATGAAGTCGCACGCGATGAAAGCTCGCGCCGAGCAAGAAGCCAAAGCTCATGATGCTCAAATGGCCGCCGCCGCTGCTCAATTGGTTAATGTTGTGAGCACCTCGGTACTCTTCAATTGATCGTTTCGCGTTCCTAAACAAAACCATCATTGTGTTCAGCCATCGCCACTGAATCCATTCGCCAACAGTCTCGGCATCACGATTCCATCGTCGATTGGGAATCTGACGCCGCAACAATTGTGCATTAATCAACAACTCCAGAGTCAATTGAGCAATTTGAGCAGTCAGCTGAACTCGCCGATGACACCGCAACAGCAGCTGCAGCTCTCGCAGCAGCAGCTTGTCGCCAGAGCAATGCAACAGGTAACACCCCCTCCCCCCTGTGTATGCCTAGTCATAGTTATAAATATATATAATTAAAAAAAACTATATAACAATTGTATTTGGTTGTTGAGCGCGTCCCGCCCCCCTCTGTAACCAAGACCTAATTTCAGAGCATGTTACAGCAAGCTCAACAGCCGACGACGTCGGCGACGATGGGAATTGTGCCGCAATCGCAGTGTCCGCTCCTTCAGACTGGTTTGCACTCGATTCATTAGAATTCAATTCTCGTCTCGTGATTGTTTCTTTTTCGTTTTTTTTATTGTTCCACTCGCCTATCGGGTACCTACTAGTTTTCGTTTTGTCGAAATTTACCAATCTATTGAATCTAGTGTTGTTCCGATTAGTCGTTTCCAGTGATTTTCGAAATATTTCAGTCAATTGTTTGTTGCCAATTTTGAATTCACAATATCAACGAACTCTTTATATATATATATTATATTATAGTTGCATTTGTTTCTGTACAAAAACCCGCATTAAAATAAAAACCATTGAAATTGAATTTGAATTATTTTGAAGCCTTCAAATTTCAGAAGCCGTCTCAACAGCTTATATGGAAATAGATAAAGCTCAACAAAATTCAAATGGACTGCACGAATTTCAAAAACCGACGGGGAAAATAATATATTCAATTTAAATTTGTGATTTTTAGAGTTCGAAAAATTGACTAAATATCAAAAATAAATTTTGGAGAGGTTTCAGAGCGCGCTGTGCGCCTTTAACCTATCCTTATTTATAGACCCGTAAATCTACAGGGTGGCTGAAAATTACCCGGACTAAAATTTCGAGCCTTCGTGAGGCGCACTGGTGCTTTTTCAGCGCAATGTTTTTTAATTTTTTTAATTAGCAATGTTTTTTTTACTATCTCTCAAATTTTCATGATAATTGGTTCGGTTTTAGCAAAATGGCGAAGCAAAATGCAAACCGACCCGCAATTATCGTATTGCACAAGTCCGGAATAGGCACGTATGCAATTTGGAAGCATCTGAGAATTCCGAAAAGCACCGTCTACGATGCGATTTTTCGTTTCAAGTATCTTAGCACAACCCAGGACCGTGCAGGCAGAGCAAGAAAAACTATGGTGACGACTTCTTCGAACGTTAAGATCGTCCGAGACAGAATCAGACGAAATGCTCATCAGAGCATCAAAAAGATGGCTTCCGCCCTGAATATGTCACGAGCTTCAATGACAACCATTGTCAAAAAGAAGCTTAAGTTGACTCCTTATTGTGTCAGAAAAGCGGTAATCCTTTCTCAATCCAACAAGCTCAAACGGCACCAAAAGGCAAAACTCCTTTTGGCGGGCGCGCGGGTTGGGGAACATCTGTCGACGGTCTTTTCGGACGAGAAGCTGTTTACCGTGGTGGCCGAATTCAATTCGCAAAACCATCGAGTGCTTGCCCGAACATCCGAGAAAGCTTCAGAACTCGGCCGGACGATTCATCGTACGTCGCTCCCCGTCAGCGTCATGATCTTCGGTGCCATCTGCTCCAATGGCAAATTTCCTCTGATTTTCGTGGAAAAGGGTGTCAAAATCGACAAGGACTACTATATCAATGAGATCCTGAAGAAGAACTTGCTTCGTTGGGCCCAAAAACACTTTGGTGGACAACAATGGGTGTTCCAGCAGGACAGGACGCCAGCTCATACTGCAAAGTTTACGCAGGAGTGGTGCGCCAACAATTTACCCTCCTTCATCAAGTCAACAGAACAGCCCGCCTCGTCTCCCGACCTTAATTCGTTGGACTACTCCGTATGGGGGGTCTTACGGAGTAAGGTCCGTGCTATGCCCCACCCGAATTTGGACTCTCTAAAGAATGCGCTGGTCGAGGAATGGGACAAATTGTCGGTGGAATACCTGCGCGCCACGGTCGACGCATATCCAAAGCGTCTTCGCGCCGTCATCAGAAACCGCGGATTTCGAATCGGACACCGATAATCTATTTATGTTTGTTATTGTAAAAATAAGCTAAATATGAAATTTGAGTGTGTTTGAACAATTATTCACTGAAATACATTGGTTTTCATATAGTCCGGGTAATTTTCAGCCACCCTGTACACCTAGTTTTTTGCGCCTATACCACTGCTATTATTTTTTTTGGCATTTAGTCAATTTTTTTCGACCATTAATAAATCGAAATATGTGATTTTGCGTCTCGGTGTTTACACATATTGGAAATTCGAAAAATTTTTAAAAATGAGCGATTCGCAACTCCAAGGAACGAATCCAATCGACTGCAGAAATCCCCGACCTGACGAAAACGCTCTCCGAGCTTTCTGAAAATCTATTTTATTTGGAAAAGAGATGGTAAAATTAACGGAATGACTATTATGTAAGGTGCCAATTACGCAAGAATTTGCGCCAATCGGGGACACTAGACATTAAACAAAGAATAATAAAAGAAAACAATAAATTAAGAGGAAAAATGGAATAAGAGAAATATTGAAAACAAATATAGTCGGCGTCCGGCGACTGCTGTACGCGGGTAGATTTTCGGGAATGCGTCTTTCGAAACGGTCTCGCAAGGACTAACTGGTTAATTCAAATTTTATCGATCAGTTTGATAATTTTTCAATCAAATGGAAATTCGACGAAATGCCAAAATCTTGAAGAAAAATGAAGCAGTTCACATGAAAACAGCAAAATAGGCATTCACGCGTGGCGAGACCTTTTCAAGGCGCATGCGCGTAAATCTACCCGCGTACAGCAGTCGCCGGACGCCGACTATAATTACATTACTAAGGCTTAATACCTTACTATAAGAAATATAAAGAATGATAAAAACATTGTTTTATCTAATTTAGGGGCGAGTTTGTTACACAATGGTGTTTTGATTATTTTTTAGAAACCGACTATACAATTCAATTAAAGATTTTTAAGACTTAAAAGTTGATAAAGATCAAATATCAAGATCATAATATACATATTGTCAGAGTCAAACTACTTAACGAAATTAAAAAAAAATTATTGGCAATGTGTAAATGAGTCTCACGGGAGACTACGTACATTGCATTATAGTGTACGCGCATTTAATATTCAGTCAACGAAAAATTTAAATTTACACTAATTTCGCGAATTTGAAGTCCCCCGCCTCCCTTCAATAGTTTGACGATGACAATATTTATATATAAAAATAGTCTCAACGTGTTTCTTCGGTGGAAAGAGACGCAGACAGCGAAACAGTTCGCGACAGAGCGGGGATCGAACCCTCGATCCTCCTGGTTATGATTCCAAAATTTTCGACACTGTGCTATTGTGCCGAAATGAGTTAGGTCCTCTATAAGATAGCAAGTGCCACACAGCGCAGCTTAATCACGGATACCGTCACGTTATATAATAATGAGAAGACTGAACTATGTATGACAATCAAAAATTTTTTTCAACATTTATGACTTTGGATAGTTTAATTTGAAAAAAAATTATGTAATTTTGTGTGTTCGCCCATCAGCCGGGGAATTTTTGCCGCCGTTGGCTGCCTTCGACGAATTTTTGGTTTTGCGAGGATCCGGGCTGTTTTAATTTTTTGGCTTAGGCTTCAGAATTGAGAAATGAAAAATCATTGTTTGCTTTTGTGGAATCAAACATTCAAAATTTCACATCACGAGAATCCAATTGAGACGATTACTAGTATGCTTAAAAGGAATACTCCCGACCTTCTTTGCTAATCAAGGGATTGGAATAGTTATGCTGATGGATAGAGTAGCAAGAATTTCAAAAATGTTCGTTATTCCCCAAAAACCGTGCTTGTCCAATCATGGCCAAACACCAACAAGAGCCTACTGTAAAGGTGTTTGCTTCCAAATTGGTAACCCGGAATTAATATAGACATTTGCAGACGGATATCCATGGTGAAGTTGACAAACAGTTGCAAATCAGCGAAAATTTTCACCTGGCTCTCTATTCATTTGCCCCGATTTTGAGAAGCTCAAAAATCTTTCAGACACGGTTATTTGATCACCGTTAATTCTATTTAATAATTTCCACAATTTTTTTTGAGTGCTCTTTGAATTGATGATTTTTTGATTCGCCAGATGCACGCTTAATTAGCGCTGTCGCCTTGGTGATCGAAGAAGCTTCCTCAAAAGAATATTTTTCATTCATTATCAGTTTTCAGTGATGCTCGCCCATTTCCTGGCCGCTCTTTTCTTTTTCACCGCCATTGGCCTCAATTATCGGTACGATTCTATTCAAGCCTTCAACCATAGGATTCCCAAATTTTCAGTGGTGGCTTGTTTTACGACAGTGCCGAAGTCACCGAGAAGAACATCTTCGCTTATTCGGTCTATCAAGACGCCTACCTTCCGATAATCAATGAAGGAATCGTCATCAAAAATTACGAATTGGCGGTCAAGTAAATGAATTCAAAGAATATTGAGAGCAGGACTTGATAAAAAAATTATTAAAGGGTCCACTCGATGGATTTTTGGTACGATAGGAAGTATGCGAAGGGCGAGAAGATATGCCATCAGAAGTTGTCCGACGAGGTCATGAAAAATGTAAAATTCGATTTGAACTAGAAAAAAACCCAATCGGGTCCCATTTTCGCAGGTCCGCCACAAAAATGGAACCTACATCGACTCGGTATACTTCGCCTGCGCGCGAAATGACATCTGCGTTGCCTATGGCTGCCTTTCCAAGTTCTAGTAAGCAATGGTTGTGAGCTTGAGCTTCTCCATCGAATATTCCAGCTTAACTCTCTTCATCATTTTTATTATCGCGACGGCGTCGATCATTTACGGAATCGCGGGACCGAGTTGCAAACGCCAAAATCCCGCTTATGTGCACATCAATAATTTCAATATGTCGGAATTGAGTCACGTTTGATAGCCAGAAGACCTCCCATGTTAATATGCACCTCTTCGTTTTATCCTCATGAATCATCAGTAATAATTTTCTACAAATTTGATCTACCTGTTATTTTGTTTAATAAAGATTTTGATAAGGATTGTAATTTTCTTGAGACACCCCCAATGATGCTGAAAAATTATAGTTGTGAAAAAATCGAGAAGAATTTTGGATTTTTCCAAAATTTCGTGATATTCTTGGAATTCATCATGAAACAAAATTTTTATTGAATAATTAGCTAATATTATTTTTTTTCAAGAAGCGAGATATTGCAATGAAGAATTTGGCACAATTCTTTATTTAAAAAAATCTCAGCGAAGCAATTAAATAATTATCTCAAATTTGGTAGGTAATAACTAACAAACAATGAGGCAGGGGGGACTTCTCGGCCACGGCCACGCTTGACTCGGCCAGCTGCTGTTGCCAAACCATTGGGAGGGTATCCCCAACAGGTATACTAATTTGATCGGTGCATTTTCAAATTTTAAAGCAAAATTTTTTTGACACACAAAATCAAAAAAAAAATGACAAAATTTAATTTTTTTTCATTTTCACTGCATTTTGCATTTGCCCACTGTTGAGCAAAATAAAATTGAAGAGCAAGTAATAGAAATATTTGAAACCAATTAGTCTAATTATATTTCAACAGGAAAATTGAAAAAGCTTTTGATGATTAATTGGGTGGCTTAGTAAAGAAAAAATACCTTGTATTCATCTAAAATTACGATATGCTCGGAATTTTTTACGGAAAAAAATTTTTTCCTTTTTTGTTCTGTGGATAATGACGCCTAAATTGAATACCGTCGATGCCTATATGAAGCGTCTGACGGTAGTTATCAAGAATCGAGGCGGGAGAATCGAACAACGATAATTAATTTGTGATTGCTATGTGTTGAATAAATTTTGGTATCAATTGAAAAGTTATTTCGATTTATCGATGCACCCGTAATTTTACCACACCCTGTATACATATATATTGGGTCTTGACGCGATCCTGATTTAAACTCACTGCCTATTTGCATTTTCCGAATTTTCTCCTAATATCCAGCTTGATTATAGATTTCCATCAAAATCTGCTCAAATTAATAATTTTATAACTATTCGGAAACAAAATTGAAATTTTCAAAGTGAGAAAACCATGATTTTGCGAGAAACTCCTCAAATCAGCTGGAATCTCTTCTGTTCAAATCATTCCCAAAATTTTTCAACGAATGAAATCCTCAATCCCTTTTTTTCCGACACAAAACCGTTCGGCTCGCCTCTCACCCATATCCATAATCGATAAACTCTAATTAAAACGGTTGCCTTGGGCAACCTCCTCGGCGATTCCCATTCGACTAATTTATCCCATTCTCGCTTCATGTCGGCCATCCCGAAACTCGTCATTTTGGTATTGCTCGCCTCCGATGGCTTCTGCTTATTCCCAAGATGCAACAGCTTCCTGTGCAAGTTGGAATCGAGCTCAGAATTTCCGTGAATTGAAAAATTCAGATCATCGAAGCTTCGCGAAGCGGTCACCTCATCGACGCTTCAATCCATTATAATCAATGGGTTGCTTGAGAAGAAGGTGACGATATCAGAAAACTTTGGACAATTTTTAGTTAGTCAACCAGACAAGTCGATCAGGTAGAAAATTTTCAAAGTGCAATTTTAAAACCATTCCCAACGCGTTCAAACGGCTAACTCAACCGGAACGGATTATCACTAGAAGCTTGCAGAGTCGGAAAAACTGATTACTGGTTCAACAATCAAACCAAATCGTTGACTTGCGATTATGACGGAGAGCATTTAAGCAAGGCATGCATTCAATGAATCGAGCAATTTAAAGGGACCATTTAGATGGTATTTCCAAACGGCGAGCCCGTCAGATCTGTGTATTTCGATTGCGATGAGAGTCAAGAATGCGACGAGCTGGTTTGCAGTACAAAAAAGAGCAATCGATTCGGGTAGACGTTGCTCGTGAATTTCATCGAAAACTTATTGATTTTTTGAGACTATTCGTTCTGATTTTCTTCTTTATCCTTTGCATTCTACTCATGTGCGCCCTCTACTTTCGCGCCTACATTTTCTATCGATTCCCGACGATGGCGAAGGCGATTCCGAAAAAATACGACGTGCCGACGACGAATTGCGACAACTCAATTCTTCCATAATTGGAAGACAATTGGAAATTGTATAAATTGATGTTTATGTGAAACTTTTTCTAATAAATTTATCTTGATTTTCTATTGCTTAGTAGGCTTTTGAAAGAAAAAAAAAACGATGGCTATGTCGTCAGACGCGTTGCGGTTTGCGTGCGGTTATGATGATACTCATTCTTTCAAAATAGGGATCCCTAAATTTAAGAAACCGCACGCGAGCCGCAACGCGTCTGACGACATGCATAGCGCCCCCTCGACATATTGAAATTTTGAACTGAGAATTATTGAAAATTTAATATTTCAATATTCTAACAAATATATTAATAAATAGCTATTGTTGTCAATTTTTCGATTTCAAAAACCTATTGGATATCATTTTGATCTTAATGGTCCGCGCCAAATTTGAATAATTTATAACTTCACGTTTAGAAGAAACGAGTTTAAGGCAATTTGAATTTTGTGGTCCAATATTTTTCGATTTTTTCATATTCGTAGCGTCGGAAATCATTCAAGCGAACGCTAATTGATACACTAATTATAATTCATCTCGAAGTAATGGTTGTCCCTGGTGATTGTGGCCACCATCGCTAATTTTTCTCGCTTATTTCACTAACAACTCCTACTTCTCAAAAATCGATCATGTCGAAGAAGCTCGGTTTCGTTTTCTTCCTGGCCATCCAATTGGGCGTCAATGTCGAATCGAGGTGAGTCATCCAATGCGTTGAGCATAGTGTGTCGAATTTCAGCACCTGCGACGACGCGACCGCGCTCGCTTCCAAGGCAATCTTCGCCAATGGAATCCTTCGGGGCAACATCGCAAATAATCGCGACGCAATCGATCGCTTCATCATCGTCAATCCAAACGAGGGAATCAATGCGAACGGCATCGATTATTGGTTCAACAAAGCTCATCTCAATGCCTCAATGGATGCTTGCGAGTACGACGCTGGCGGCGATCCGAACTTCGGACTGGTACTTCTAACGATCCTATCGATCCTATCATTTATTGTAGGTGAAATTCGCCAACGGCAAACTCCTCGACACCATCTACTTCAATTGTGCCCGATTCGATTCGTGCAATGGTCTCACTTGCAAGAAGCACTCTTATATGGATTTCGACTTTATGATTATTTTGAATGTGATTCTCGCGTTCATATTCTTCTGGATGCTCATCATTTTTCTCTTCGTCATGAAAAACATCATATACCTTCTCAACAAAATCGACGATCTTCGCGTCTCAATGCGTCGCCTCTTCAATTTACACCGACCTCAGAGACAATACATCCAATTCGTCGACACCATCCCTCCGGTTAATTATTATTAACCTCTAATTGATGTTATGGAATGCTTCAAATTTTTTTAATCACTTACCTAATTTTCACCAACTCAGTTATTCTCATTAACTATGTATAAACAATTTTTGAATCAGCAATTATAAATTCGATTACGCATCCAATTTATTAGAGGGTTACTAGAAATCATTATTAAATTTAAATGCGGCATTGAGAGCCAAGAATCTTCTCACGGAGCAATCGTCCGGTTGGCGAAATCAGAACATTCTGAAGTTGGTTGATATGTCAGGTGGCGAGCAATGAAATTACCTTGGCATTTCCGGCGATATCAGCCAATTGTTGCTCGTCGGGCTGAGCGAGTTTATCCTTCACCGCCACCGCCACCATTTGAATTCCACGCGACCGTGCCGCCCGCGATGCCTCTTTCGTATTGTCCTAATATAAGAATAAATTTCGTATGACAAATTTGAGTATTCAAAGATGATATAGACTATACCCCCTGATTTTATTGCAGGGGCTAATTTGAAATTTTTTGCATTGATCCCCCACCTAATACTCTCTCACATTATAGTTTGAAAATTCAAAATTGGCTCCTAATTTTTTTTTCCATTCGAGACGCATCGCGGCAATTCAAATTATAAATCAAGAACACTAGTAAATTTCAGCCCCCAAAATATATCCATTTGATTTTAGTAACAACCTGAGAGTAGCCATCTGTCAACACAACAAGAACTTTCTTGACATTCTTCCTCGCCGGATGCGCCAAATCATCAAACGCCTTTATTCCAAACCGGATGGCCTGCCCGGTTTTCGTGGTCCCTCCACTTGTTCGCATTTTGAACATCTCTTCGATCAGATCGTCTTTATCATCATACTTGTCCAATGGGACCAAAATCAAGGAACGACCGGGACTCGAAAAGCCGATGAGCCCAACCTAACCAAAAACACATGTTAGAAGTACGACGTCTTCTGGAAGACTACTGATTACCCGAACAGAATCTTAACCAATTGGCATCGAACTGATTGTGGATGCCACAATGTCCAAGTATTGTTTGCTCTTATCCCCGGTGCCTTGTGACGTGTCAACCATAAAGAACACATCGGCCAAACAGCCGAGTGGAATTTTTCGAGTTTTCTTCGTTGTCTGGGTTACAATGCGAGTCGTTGGCCGGAGTGTCGAGCGCGTCGTCATCGGCCTATCGGTAGCGGCGAAATGAACACTTCGAGATTTGACCAAAATGTCCTTGTTGAGTAGTTCCGATGTCTCGAAGGAGATTCCCAAAGTGGTTGGAGCAAGGGTTGCGGTTGTCGTGGAGCTGACACGAAACGTTGACGGCCGTCTGAAAATCGAAAAAAAAATGTTGATGATGTGAATGATCGGTGGCATTCACATAATCACACTTGCCAAATTTGGGATCGGCGAAAAAATTGGCGAATTTACGGAATTGAGAGTTGAATTGCATTTTCTTTTTAAATAATTCCAAACACCATCATCTTTTAGTTTTTTTTTCTAAAAAAATTAATAAACTTTCAATCCAATCCATCCATCGCAAGTGTGATATTATTTCTATATGCTTTTTAAGGTTACCTAATGTCCACACTTTAAATAAAGAACCAATCCCTAACCTGGTAACTTTCATTCTCGGAAATTTTCTCGTAATCGTCATTGCCGATCTTGTGGTAGGCGGCGAGATAAGAGTGTCTGACACATTGAAAAATGTCAAGCGTCGGACCAACGGATCCCTAAAATTAAACATTTATACATATATAAATAAATATATAACTCTTGAAGCGAATCGTTTTAAACCTTGTTGAAGTCAAAGGTCTGCGAGTAGTCGTGAACGGATTGATGGACGGTTTTCTTCGAATTTCATTCTCGTTGAATTTGCTCGAGTCCTGAAATCGAGAATTTCAGAGTCCACCCTCAACAAGAGCCTCGAATACGCTGAAGATCGATGTTGGCAGCGATTTGCCGCATGCGATCAATTTTTCAAAATTCGTGTGCTCGTCTTCGGACAATATTCTGAAATTATCAATGTCGATTGGGGCGACGTCGATTTCATCGATAAACTCTCTCTTTTTCGTCGTTCCAATTCGGAAGACGTGAAGCGCGGGAGCCTTCGAAATCGACCTCCACATTTGGACCATTGTCTGATTCACAGGAGTCTCGGAAAATAGCAATATGACGAATTGCTGGTATCCTGAATAATCAAAAGAATGATTTAGGCGGATTTCGAAAACAGCACCTTTTGTTCGTCTGGCGATCTCCGAACCGGCGACATCCAGGAAACGATCATAATCACCGGCGACCGTTGCGAGCACCGAAATGAGCTCATCGTTGTTCTACAATTCATGGAATAGCGCTACTCTGGTAATTCAAAACCAATCGGATACGAAAAAATTCGGCTCCGGAATCAACCGGATCAGACCGGCCATTCTAAGATTTTGAAACTGTCGAATCCGATTGGCTTCAAGATTCCCCGATTATTTTGACGACAACTTACACGAACAACTCTCGGAACATAACGATCGTGTCGAGAAACGACAACCCATCGTCGGATTTTGAGTTCGTCGGGTAGCTGTTTGGCAATTTCGATGGCACGATGACGAGAAATCTATGAAATTTTTTGATAATTATAAGATTAAAAATATGCAAAAATTGGGTTCGTTTCTGTTTTAATAATGCGGCTCGCGTGCCGATACCTGACACACAACATCAGCTAGTACTGTTCTCGAAACGATTTTTAAAAAGTAAATTTTCAAATTTCGCAGGAATTTGGCTGAAAATTGGCGCGAATCGACAGTAAGGAATAAAAAAAATTTAAAAAAATGGCGAGAGAGTGTGCTAATGAGGAGAGCGCGCGCCAAGAGGTAGAGATAGCGAGCGCGGAGGTAGAGATAGCGGGCGCAAGAGAGGCGCAGAGGCAGGGGATTAAAGGTGGAGATGTTAATGCGGCCAGGATATCTCGCGGCGCCAATTCGACAGTAACCGCGCAGCGGCGCGAGTGAGAAAAAATTTTAATTTGAATTTGGATCGTTGGCTTTCATTTTTTATCTTTTCGATTCGTTCTTTTTCGATCGCGCTTGGTTTTTTGGTGTTTGTCGAGCTCTGACTTTCTTTGCTGGTTTAGAGCGAGTGCGGTGAGCTGAGCACGACCTGACAGAGACGACGAAGCTAGACCAACTTGGGCCCATTTCTAATTAAAATTTATCTCGATGTAGTTTGAGTCCAATTAGTTTTGCAACACAAATTAAAATTCTGGATCCCGAATTCGTGAGCTTCGTTGAAAAACCCATATTTATTCTTTCATTTTTTTCCATTAAAAAAATAATTTTTAATTTTCAAATTTCTAAAATTTCACACTTTTCATTTTGATCTACTCAATTTCAGTTTTGCAATAATTTGCAGAAGGAATTTACGTTGAATGCGCAAGCAAAAAATTCGGAATTTCAAATTTTAAAAAATCAATTTTTTCAGGTATATCGCATTTGTTTCAAACTGGAATTTCAAAAAAGCCTGATTCCATCGGAATGTGAGATTTTCAATTACTTTAAAATGACAGCTGAATAATTTCAACAAATTGCACTCTTCAACATGGTCTCGAAACGTCGAGCCACTTCAAAATTGTCTTCGTCCAAAGCGAATAATGAGGAATTCCTTTTTAATCCAAATTTTGACTTTAAACAAAAATTTCTATGAAAAAAGAATTTAGGAAGAGTGCAAATCCGCTTCGCACATATTCCATTCGATTATTCAAATATCATCAAACCTCATTTCCTTTGGTGTCGACAACAAATAGTACATCAACACAACAAGTGCCAAATTGGGAATTGAGTATTATTAGCAATAATAGCAGCAGCGACTTCATCACAGATCACGCCAGTATTGAAGTCGAGCGGAACATCAGCCATCTTCGAATCATATCGGTTCATCTCATCTGTTGTTGAATATCGGCGTGTGAATCCGCAACAACAACAACAACAACAACAACACCGAATATTCCATTCATTTATTGCTTCAATAAATAAGTACATATTAGTCAAAAAGTGGGGCACCCCATATTCCAAGAATAATTCAAAAACAAAATCAAGGGGGTCGCGGAGATCAATTCTCAAGAATTAAAGTGATATTGGCAGTATACCCATTATTTGTGTGGAGTTGTGGCAAACAATTAATGAAAAAAAAAACATTGAACATAAATACCAGATGATAAACGAAAGGCAAATGGTTGGTTTTGATCGATCGGAATCGTTTTCCTCATACATACCATTCCTTGAAGTCTTTCTTTTTGGCGACACCATTACCATTTCGTGGCAGCGTTGCCGACGCGCCTCCATTCGGTATCACCGAGCCTTTCAACGGCTCGTAGCCATTTCCATTGATCTACAATTGCGAATTAATTATATCTATACAAATAGGTCGTGGAATCGAAGAGGGCATTTCGAAAAACGATCTGTGTGATTCGCAATTCTAACTATCATAGAGTTGATGTCCCGACGACTGCCGGGTAGATTTACGCGCATGCGCCTTGCCTATGGGTCTCGCACGGACTAACTAGTTGATTTGCATTTTAGGGGTCATTCCGCTAATTTTTAATTTCAATGTTATTACGAATTCAAAGAAATGATATACTCATCAAGAAAATTTTTAAAATGAACATGTTCGCGTGGCGAGACCATTTTGGAAGGCGTACATCAAGTATGGAACACTTCAACAATAAACTTCCACAAAAACAAATTTTTGGAAATTTCAATTTACCGGAAATTGAATTGAATAATAGAGTTAAATAGAGATTTAAAAAAAAGATTTCAGTCCAAAACCTGCAAATTTTCATTTTGGTGGGATTTTTGCCATCGAATTTCGTTCTCATACGATTGATTCTCAGAGAAAATCGAAACTACCTGTGGCTTCTGCAAAAGCGGTTGTGTGCACGATTCGTTGTTTCGATCGTGATTCATCGGCGGCGAGAGTTCGGGCGCAATCGCCGTATAACCCGATTGCGTCTTCATCGCCTAAATTGATTGTTGAACTCGAAATTTGGTGTGTTTCGAGAAATCTCAATACTAACAATTGTGTAATGATCACCGCTCGGCGGATTTTGGCGGCATTTGAACACGAAGAACACGACGGCGGCGATGGCGACAATCACCGCCAGACTCGAGCACATGATCAGCGGGGTTCGCGGAAAATCGGAAACAGCGGCCGTCTGAAACATTCATATTTGGTTATTTTTTCTCTTTCTCGTTGCCGCTAATTCAAGTTTTGCCTGAAATTTTCAGACATTCTCAACTCAATTGGGAGTAGTCTGCAGAAAAAAGAAATTTTAAAAAAATTCATATTTCCTATTTTTTTTTCTTAAAGAAATGGATTTGAATTCTTGAAATAAATTCGTCTCCGCTAATTCAAAAGGGTCCCAATTTTAGAATTGTTTCCCCTCAAATTCGAAATTTGGCTTGAAAAAAAAATTTCAGACATTCTAATGCAAGTTTTGTTTTTTTTTTTACTTATAAAAATTCTTAGCCCCTGAGTTAAGATTTTTTCAAATCTGAGAAGCTGAAAATTAAAATGCATTAAAATTTTGAAATTCCAAATACGGGTGGTTTCTTCACAATTTGAAAGCAATAATTCAATTCGGATTTCAGCTAAATTTCGAAACTCAAATTTGCAGACAACCCAAAAATCTCGCAACCTGCATCGTCGTCGTGATCGTCTCTCCCATAGGAGTCGTCGGTCGAACCGGATACACCGAATACGAGTTGGTCGCTTTCGGCCGAACGTTGACAGGCGTCGCGATGCTGCTGGCGATCAGCGCGTTCAGCTCTCGGCTAGCCGGTGTGCTGTCTAGAAAATTTGCAGCGATTACTCATCGAGCAATGTGATGCGGGACCCCCCTCCCGGAAAAAGAAACCATGAGGCAGGCTGTTAGTGAGAATCAGCAGCATCAACTCATTTGTTGTGAATTATAGAAAAAAAAAACAAACAAACAAAACAAAACATCAAAAAACCGGGGGGGGGTGGTTTTGAGTAGCTGGGGGGGGGCCGAATATGTTAAACCAAAAGAAAATCGACGGCGGCCACAGACAACATTTCACACATATTTAGTCGAGTCAAGCAATTGTTTAAAAAAACCACGGGGGGCAGAAAAAAAAAATTAACACACGCCGAATGGTGGGAAATAATGCAATTGGTTTTGGTGGCGTGTCTCACATTTCGCCTAATTAACACCAAGACAACAATTCCTTTGCGAGTCGAATCGACTGATATTGAGGCGAGAAAAAAAAACGTCGCGAGATCGCCTAGGAGACCGGGGGGGGGGCCTCCCGAAATGGGATTAGAGCGAGCGTCTGACGAGCAGCTCTCACCCCCCCCCCCATCTATTGTGGGCGGCGGAATTACTCGATGGAGGGCCGTTTTACCTTGAGGCCCATTCGATTTTTATTTGTCGTCGCGAGGTCCGTCCGTCCGTCCGGAAATGGGAAGAATGAATGGAGGGGGGCGGGGCGAAAAACGACGAGCAGAAAGAGCAAGAAAGCAACTCAACAAGCAACCAACCAAAAAAAAAAATTGAAAAGAAAGAAGGCACGCTAGGAAGACGAAGAAGAGGCAGACGTGTTATGACCAAAAAAAACCACCCGAAGCGAGCCATTCCATTCCTATTAGAGCTGATTTGCAAATGGATTAAACGAGAAAATCCTTGTAGTAGGGGGGGGGGGGGTTTGCTCGGATAATATTCGGTCTAGTTGAGGAGGGAGCAAACGATTTAATATTCAGAACAATTATTTCCTAATTTCAGATTGGAATAGTCAATTTCACTGGGTGAGATTCTCGCGATTTCAATTCAATGGGGCCCCCCACCCTAGTTGCATTAAAGGCGCATGCAAAAATTTGGTTTTTCAAAAGATGATGCCGAGCTCATGCTACCATATTCCCTCAACTTTGATTTTTTTAAAGTCTTTTTTTCGGCTTTATAAGGACTGAAAATGGGCGGAGTCTGCATGCCTTAATTTTGCATTTGACTGAGTATTAAATGCGCGTACGCAGTCTCTTCACCAGCATTCTTTCAAATTTCAATCAGACTCTTGAATACGAAAATAATTGATTTTGAAGCTGTCAGAGTGAGAATGAGAGAGAGAAAAAAGAGCGAAATTGAGGATGGTCTTATTTTTTGATCTCAAAATAAAAAAAAAATTCTGCATATTTTTCATTAACGCTTCCCCCTCCCGCTAATTAGGTTTTATATTTATATTTTTGCGTCTTCTAAATGAGATATTTCCGTCTCGGTCTGCCCTCCCCCCCCCCCCATCAGGGCGGGGTCGGTCTACTCGAATGAGAATTGATAAATACACCTGCTCACCTCCTCAAACTATACATATGCACACATTGATTTTGTCATGACACGACGACAACGAAGAAGAAGAAATATGTGGAAACAAAACGAAAATCTCGACGCTGACGCGGATTTATTACGAAATGCGAATAATATGTCAAAAGCAGAAACCAGCGAAATTGATTGCGTTTTACGAACGCCGGCGGTTTATGAATTTGCGCTTTTCTTTGAAAAAAAGCGTTTCAGAAGACACACAAAACTGTCAAAATCGAAAATCGAAACAATCCATTTCAAAATTCGTGAAGACGCCCTTCTAATCGTAAATCTACGCCAACCAAAAAGAGATAGAAAACCACACAATTCAATCAATCGATAGGTACGGTCTAAAGGGGGGTGGGGAAAAGAATCGCCAAGACCAAGAGAGAGAGAGTTCACCATTTTGGGTGGAGGAGGAAGCACGAGGTATCGAAAGAAAAGAGAGCACACGGCAAGCAGCAGCAGGCCACATACGCTCACCGTAAAATTGTCGGCGTGCCGACGAGGCGCTCGTCTTCGATTTCGTCGTCGTCGTCGCCGACGACGATGACGACAACGACGACCTCGTCGTCGATTTGTTGGTTCGCCACGCGGGACCCGTCACCATCGGCTCCGGTAGTGCGTCGATCTGATTCCAAATGCTCGCGCCTAGATAATCGGGATTCTGTTCGGCGGCCTCGAGAACGCTCTCGTACGGTCTCGGCAAGACCGTCGAGACGCGCGTCGTCGCCAATGGTTTATTAGTAGTCGTCGTCGTCGTCATCGTCGTGCGTGTTAGTTTGGCAATTTTTGTCGTCGATGCGATCGTCGTCGGTTTTGTCGCCGGCGTGATGCCCAACGCGTCATCAACAAACAAATCATCGCCGGATCCCTCATCGGTCTCGATTTGCGACAAAAAGAACACGGGTAATGTCGTTGTGGTCTTAGGCATACTCGTCGTGAATCGTCGAACCGCTAAATCTGTGTTAATGTGATGGTAATTGCCGAGACCGATTGCAATATGAATATAAATGTGGGTGTGTGTGTGAAGTGGTGTCTGTTTAGCGCGTTAGTCGTGTTGGTGAAGATGGTGACGATCAACGAATTCCGAATTTTTAAAAGCCCGCATTAGTTAGAACTTTTTTTATTGCAAAAAAATGCACTTTAAAGAATATATGTATTTCAAAAATCAACTTTTTGGTGCATTTTTTTCAACACTATCAAAAAAATAGAATTCTAGCTGACACAGGCTAATCGACGACGTCCCCCCCGCAATTCAATGGAAGCCTTCTTCCTCAATTACCTGCTGTACTAATTAGCGTTGTTGTCTCCAATGTGGGAATGATTGGCGAGATGAATCCTGAAATATGGTGACTCTTATTCAGGGCAACAAAATTGTTGAGGAGAAATTTCAAAAAAAAAAAATCATTGTATACCACTTGTTGGGTTTTCATTCGAGCCATCGTCGACACGCGATTTTCGCGATTTTTGCATTTCATAATTGGACGCGAATCGCGGCACGTTGAACGATTTGAATTTTCGGCAATTCTCGTCGTGCCAATTCATGAGGCACAGAATCGGCGACGGCGTCGTCGTCGTCGTCGTCCTCGTCGCTTTTTTGCTCGCCCCATTTTTTCGGCCCAACTCGTCACCGTTGTCGATTACCACCATAGGGGAGGGGGGCGGGACCGGGCTTGATGATGATGGAAGTTTGAGAGAGAGAGAGAGGTGTGTGTGTGGCGAGCGCCTAATAAGGTATCAAATAACACAATCACTGTGTGGATTATATAAAGATATTTATATATTATTCAGCGAGAATGACAAACAATCAACATTGATTCGGTGGAATTGTGAATAACCGAATAATGCCGAACGGAAGTCGGCGAGCAGCGAGGAGTAGTAGGAAAGAGAAAAAAAGAATGGCCAACTTTTTTTTTTTGCGAGGAGCAACTTATAATTTATTCGAAACACAAGTGAAGAGCAACAGCACGGCGAAACCAACAACTAAAAAAAAATAGAGGAATACTGGAAGTCATGACGTCGACCCGTTCGGCTCACTAGGGACTACTCAAGCCGGGCGGTCCGGCCAGCGAAAAATGAAAACGCGGAGAATGATTCGGAAAGTCTCGCCGGCGGCATCTCCGCTTCTTTTTAGGCGCATAATTAAAGCAAGAAGGTCTCTCTAAAATGTCGACGGCGACACTTTGATGGGATGGTGGGAGGAGGGACCCCCGGCTATTTATTGAATTTTTTTTTCACACTCTCTCTCTCTTTCTAATTTTGTGAGACATGTTTCGCGTTAGAAAATTTGCCAACAAACTAACTTCGAAGCGGATTATTTGTATAATCCTGTTAAAGGTTGAAATCGAGATGAAATTGTCTAAAAAATCGAACAATTTTTCGAAAATTTTGCTGAAAATGGAAAAAAAACCGAATTTAATGTTTCAGCAATCTGAAAATTTTTTTTCGGATTTTTTATTTCATAAAATTTTTTAATTTTAAAATTCCAAATTCAGGTTAAAATTAGTTTTTTCGAAAGGTTTATGTGTTTTAAGAAAAAAAACGAAAACGATGCAAGTGCGCTCTATTGAGAATTCGCTTTCGGCGAGTTCAGCTTCAAGGTGCAACCGGGAATTTCGCATATGCTTTTTAAGATTTTTAAATGCAATTTTTGAGTATTCCTTTTTTTTAATTATAACAACACTATACTAGTTTTAATAAAGTTCTTCACAAATATGGTCCCTATGTTCTCAAAGCCTAATATGGTAGCAAAATTCAGGGCGTCAAAGAAAATGGATCTACTCAATTTGGGTCCCTGAGTATCAAACGTTCAAAAAATTACAGTTCACATTAAAGGCGCATGCAAAATTTTGTTAATTTTGCCCAAAAAAAATTGCAACTGTATTCGACGGAAATTTTCCAAACGGCCCAATTTTCTCTAGAATAAGGTTTTATTCAATAATATTTCGCATAGAAAAAAATATGATAAGCTCATAAATTTGCAATTTTCGAGAAAAAAAAAAAAGCGTAGAAGGTGATCAGAATTTCAAAAAATTGAAATTGTCGGAAAAAAATAGAAGGTCCTCACAATTTCAAAAAAAAAATTGAAATTTGGTTGAAAAAATAAACACGAAACATTTCTTGTAGGTGAAGTCGAATGGCTCGGAGGGCAAAAAAGACGATCAACTCGCTATGAGAAGATCGGGGTGGCGCACATCTCGGCGTACAAACGTTCCCGGGGGACATGTTTTATATGTGCTCTTTCTCCGATTTTTTAGACCCCCCCCCCTCACACACACACAAACTGAGATGGAGTTTGACGAGAAGTACACATTTATGTACATATATATCGATGATAGATTAGTGGCGTTCTGATGGCAAATCTGCGGGGGGCGAAGCGCGAAATGAATGGACTTGTTGAATGAATGTACATACGTGAATACGACAACATCGACGGGAGAGCGGGAGGGGGGGGGCAGTGTTGCATCTGCGACATTAATTCTTCTCGTTTCGAAAAACTGACTAAGTCAATTTCACGCACTTTTGTGGAGCACACATTCGCGATTCAGGAAGTTTCGACGACGTATAGTTATCGGAAATTTCGGCAAGTTGCCGAAAATCAAAATTTCGGCAATTCGGCAATTTTTCGAAAATCAAAATTTCGGCAATTCGGCAATTTTTCGAAAATCAAAATTTCGGCAATTTTCCGAAAATCAAAATTTCGGCAATTCGGCAATTTTCCGAAAATCAAAATTTCGGCAATTTTCCGAAAATCAAAATTTTGGCAATTTTCCGAAAATCAAAATTTCGGCAATTTTCCGAAAATCAAAATTTCGGCAATTCGGCAACTTTCCGAAAATCAAAATTTTGGCAATTTTCCGAAAATCAAAATTTCGGCAATTCGGCAATTTTCCGAAAATCAAAATTTCGGCAATTCGGCAATTTTCCGAAAATCAAAATTTTGGCAATTTTCCGAAAATCAAAATTTCGGCAATTCGGCAATTTTCCGAAAATCAAAATTTCGGCAATTTTCCGAAAATCAAAATTTCGGCAATTCGGCAATTTTCCGAAAATCAAAATTTCGGCAATTTTCCGAAAATCAAAATTTCGGCAATTCGGCAACTTTCCGAAAATCAAAATTTTGGCAATTTTCCGAAAATCAAAATTTCGGCAATTCGGCAATTTTCCGAAAATCAAAATTTCGGCAATTTTCCGAAAATCAAAATTTCGGCAATTCGGCAATTTTCCGAAAATCAAAATTTCGGCAATTTTCCGAAAATCAAAATTTCGGCAATTTTCCGAAAATCAAAATTTCGGCAATTTTCCGAAAATCAAAATTTTGGCAATTTTCCGAAAATCAAAATTTCGGCAATTCGGCAATTTTCCGAAAATCAAAATTTCGGCAATTCGGCAATTTTCAAAATCAAAATTTTTTCCGAAAATCAAAATTTTGGCAATTTTCCGAAAATCAAAATTTCGGCAATTTCGAAAAAAATGGCAATTTTCCGAAAATCAAAATTTCGGCAATTTTCCGAAAATCAAAATTTTGGCAATTTTCCGAAAATCAAAATTTCGGCAATTTCGAAAATCAAAATTTCCGAAAATCAAAATTAATTCGGCAATTTTCCGAAAATCAAAATTTCGGCAATTCGCAATTTTCCGAAAATCAAAATTTCGGCAATTCGGCAATTTTCCGAAAATCAAAATTTCGGCAATTTTCCGAAAATCAAAATTTCGGCAATTCGGCAATTTTCCGAAAATCAAAATTTCGGCAATTTTCCGAAAATCAAAATTTCGGCAATTTTCCGAAAATCAAAATTTCGGCAATTTTCCGAAAATCAAAATTTCGGCAATTCCGAAAATAAATTTCCGAAAATCAAAATTTCGGCAATTCGGCAATTTTCCGAAAATCAAAATTTCGGCAATTTTCCGAAAATCAAAATTTCGGCAATTTTCCGAAAATCAAAATTTCGGCAATTCGGCAATTTTCCGAAAATCAAAATTTCGGCAATTTTCCGAAAATCAAAATTTTGGCAATTTTCCGAAAATCAAAATTTCGGCAATTTTCCGAAAATCAAAATTTCGGCAATTTTCCGAAAATCAAAATTTCGGCAATTTTCCGAAAATCAAAATTTTGGCAATTTTTCGAAAATCAAAATTTCGGCAATTTTTCGAAAATCAAAATTTCGGCAATTCGGCAATTTTCCGAAAATCAAAATTTCGGCAATTCGGCAATTTTCCGAAAATCAAAATTTCGGCAATTTTCCGAAAATCAAAATTTCGGCAATTCGGCAATTTTCCGAAAATCAAAATTTCGGCAATTCGGAAATTTTCCGAAAATCAAAATTTCGGCAATTTTTCGAAAATCAAAATTTCGGCAATTTTCCGAAAATCAAAATTTCGGCAATTTTCCGAAAATCAAAATTTCGGCAATTCGGCAATTTTCCGAAAATCAAAATTTCAGCAATTCGGCAATTTTCCGAATATAAAAATTTCGGCAATTCGGCAATTTTCCGAAAATCAAAATTTCGGCAATTCGGCAATTCTCCGAAAATCAAAATTTCGGCTATTAAACGTTTTCAACGATAATTCGAAATATATTAAAAATACCGAATTTTCACGGTATCCTAAATTATTCAATGCACATTGATTTTTGTTTCGCCGATTTTTTTTTTGATATAAAATTGCCGAAAATCAAAATTTCGGCAAATCGACAATTCGGCAATTTGCCGATCGAACGTTCTCTTCGGCAATCGGCAATTCCATTGCCGCACAGCCCTGGTATAGTTAGAGGATCAAACGCGAAATTTTTGTTTTTTGGGGATTCACAAATTATTGGTGACAACAGGGTTCTAAACGAAATGTGTATTTAAAATCTGGAATCGATGAATTCTTTCTTTTTTTTAGCAGGCAAAAAGAAAAACAAGAAACCTTGTCACAACACCGAACTAGAAGCTATAATTCATGTCAAAAAATGGGGAGAATTTTCACTGGCTTTTTATAATACGCATAGGCTTCCATCATGCTTCCAATTAATCGCCTATTGCAAGAAAAAAAAAACATTTTTTTGTTGAAGCCTTTTCAATATATTGTTTTCATATGCTGAAAATCTGACGCCAAATCATTGCCTCGTTTTCCAAACATGGTACCAAATTTGAATTGCCAAAACGATGAAATTAGCTTTTTTTGTTGATTTTTAAAAATTCACCAAATTCGGGGCAAAACTGCCAATATTTTTTCTTGAGAGCAATCTTCCAAGCTTCTATAAGAATTAATCGAAAATTCTAGATTCTTCGAATTAGGCATTGTCAATTTCTTTAGGCCTTCAAAATTGAATTGCGGTAGACATTAAAGGCGCATTGAATCAACAAAAAAAAAAGAAACGCGTGACAAGACCCAATTAATAAAGTTCCTGGATCTACTCCATTGGTGGACCAGTATTAGTGGATATGAAAAAGAAAAGTAATAATAGTGTGGCCGGAGAGTACCATGTTTATGAAGCCATAAAGACCTGATGTGCTAGCTAGCGTTGGTTATATGAAATCCTATATTCGAATCTTCATATTTCAAAATGAAGAGAAGCCCCTCAAAATAAGAGAGCACGAGCAATTTTGAGCATTTGATACATACACATCAATGAAGGGTGTGGGTGTGTGTGTGTGAGTATGAAAAACGAGGTGGAGGCCCCAAAAAAAAAGAACCGCCACCACCACCACCACCAATTATTCGGTGCCGCACTTTTTGCCACCTCAGTTTTCGTCACCTTTTACCCAGAAGAAGGAAAGGAGAGAAAAAAAATTGCGCACGATTTCCGCCATTTTGAAATAATAGGGCCTACTGCTGCTGATGGTGGTGGGTGGCACCTGCAATTCACCACCAACACCCAAAATTTGGGTGTGGTACGAATCGCCTACATACAAAAAAAAAGTATAAATGTGCGAATCGACGCAACGAGAAAATTTTGAGAATGGGAGAACAATGGAAATGAATACATTAAATTTTTCGACAAAAACTCGTCCGCGTTTTTTTTCTTTTTTTTACCACATTAATCACTATTAATCCCATTTTTGTTCGTCTTTTTGTGCATGTTAGACGCTTGATGAATTGATGAATGAATTCAAGAGCAAGTCGAGAAAGTTCGACGAATGAGGGCTCACAATTTTCGTGGAATCTGGACAAGTCGAGCACGCATGAAAATGACAATCAATATCACCTGATTATTTCGTTTTTTTTTATTTTGCAAATTTTAGCGTAGATTTAATTTTGAATATATGTAAGCAGAAGTTTCACTCAACGCTTTCATCGGGATGAACAGTGGACCCCTTCTTTTGGGTTGGGATTACTGGCGGAATATTTTGAGACAAAAAATCGCTAAATCGAGGGCGATGTATAAATGGAGTGTCGTTGTGGGACAAACCGCCAAAGGTTTTTTTTGGGAACTCCCGTGGAATCGCAAAAAAAATATTGGCACGAAAATTTGAAACCAGAGTTGATCTCCTTAGTTATAGAAAATTGTACTTATTTTCGCATGCGCCTTTAATGAGTACTGTAGTTTTGAACTATAGTCAGACAGTGTTCTTCAAATTGTGGATACTAAATTAAGTGTCGAAACTATTTGGCTGCGTATCAAACATATTCAAATCTGCAGGGCATATTAAAGGCGCATGCAAGCAAATGTTGTTTTCGCGCCAAGAGTTAATTATCGAATTTCCATTTTTCAGCATACATTTTTTAGTGCGCATAAAATTCTATTTTATCGTTTCTTAAAAATTTTTTTTCTTAATTTCAATTTGAACATGTATTGGAGTTATTCCGCCGGACGAATTGGACAAGGGATCAAACCATTTTTGGTCTTATCGCGAAATCAATGCGCCTTTAATATCTACAGTAATTTTCAATGCATAGTAGATCAAATCGAAAATGATTATGGCGCCAAAATTTGAAAAATAAGCAACACCCTCCTCCCCCTCTCAGAATAAAGCAGCTCAGTTCATTTTGGTGTCATTTTGACGCCCTTGGGGGTGAAGGACAAATTGCCATTTGCCGTGCCACAAGAATACCATTTCAGATGAGCAAGTTTTGTTTTGGGCGATCTGAGCTCAAAATTCGCTTATCAATATTTCAGAGCCATAAGATATTCGTAATCATTGTTCAATTTCAATGCGGATTTTTTTGGGAGAAAATTGGAAAACCTCAAAAAACTGGGGATATTCGAGTATTTTTTTTTGCTCAAAAGTCCCAATTGCACGATTTTTCAGAGAAGAGATCACCTATTTAAAAAGTGTAGGCACGCTTTAAACATATAAGCTTCACACATGTCACCAATGAGAATCCATTGAAAACAATTTCAAAAAATCTCGGTGCATTCATAGAAGTGCACGCAAAATTGCAGACATTTACAAATTCTTTTGTTAATTAAAAAAAGTGATTTTTTCAAGATTTTGTGGAACAAAAAAATTCAATTGAGAAAATGGATTATTTTGGGGAAAAAAACGGGAATGGAATGAAAAATTGGCGCGCAATTCAAAAATTCAAAAATTGGCACATCCGCATTTATTTTCGGGTTTTTCTCGGCCCCGCCTCAACCTCCATATTTGGCATTCGACATTCATTAACATCATCCCCCAACGAGATTGACAACAACAAAAAAAGAACTGCCCAAACCAACCTGTCGAATCGTCGGCTTCAATGAAACACGTTTGTTGCTCCTCAAGTGTCAAACAGCTCGGCGCCAATGACTCGATGAGAGCTTCGCTCGGATTCTGAAGAATGCGTATATTCAATTAAATGAATGGGAGAGAGAAAGAGAAAAAAATGCCTTATATATTTTCTAAATTTGAGAGGAGAAAAAAAACCAAAAAAAAGCCAGAGAGAAATGAGATTGAAAATGAAGTGAATAAAATTCCAAAGAAATGCTCACCATCGCCCTCCCTTATTTGGGAATGAATGAGACACATATGGCCTCCTCTCTCTCTCTCTCTTTGTACACAAAAAAAATATTAATGAGCAAGCGAATCGGAAGATTGATTTTGGTATTGTATTGAGAATGGGAGGAAAAAAAATTTTTTTCTTTGGCTTCTTCTTTCCCCGCGAAGACGGAGAAGCCACATGTCGTGTTGTGCTGGTGGAAGGCCGACGTTGACAACATACAATTGCATTTGCATTTTAGTTTTCAACGCCAAATTCCTTTTATTTTCTCGCTTCATCTTCACTATCTAGTTTTTTTTTGTTGGTATTGTTCTTAAGGGAATAAGAGCCCCCCCACCCTCGGGCTCCTCCTCGCACATCTCCGGAAGGCGGGCAGCCGAGTTGAGCTCACGACAAGTTTGCGCAAAAATGTTTATTCGACAAAATATGATGGAATGCTTTTTTTCTTTCTGAAAAGACGACCAAAAAAAATGATAGCAGGCAATTTTGATTGGTTGGAAAATCGCCGGAATTCCGTGTGTCGCCGGTTGGAAAAAAATTGGAATCGAAGAGGGCATTTCGAAAAACGATCTGAGTGATTCGCAATTCTAACTATCATAGAGTTGATGTCCCGACGACTGCCGGGTAGATTTACGCGCATGCGCCTTGCCTATGGGTCTCGCACGGACTAACTAGTTGATTTGCATTTTAGGGGTCATTTTGTTAATTTTTAATTTCAATGTTATTACGAATTCAAAGAAATGATATACTCATCAAGAAAAATTTCAAAATGAACATTCTCGCGTGGCGAGACCATTTTGGAACGGCGCACATCAAACATGGACCCGTTCTATATTCTAGGAAATGATATACTTATCAGAATAAATTTAGGCTTATTTTAGATTTCGTAAAAATCACATATGCTTACAATCTGGGAATGTAGAAAAAAAGAAAAGAAAAATAATCCATTCGTAATTTAAAGGATCAATACAGAGAGAAAAAATCTAATTTTTTCGTTTTTTTTTTTGACAAATTTCTCCACTTTTTTTCGTTTACAGCAAAATTCCAGAAATTCTCTCCTTTAAATAATTTTGGTAAAATTCAATTTTCATTCTTCGCGCCAAAATAACGCATTGGTTTGCGTGCGCCTTTAAAGTATACTGTAATTCTCTATATGTTTGATAGTCGGCCAAAATTTGAAATTACGCGATTAAACAAGAAAAAAAATTGTCTCGTAATTTGTCCGCAGATAGTAATTAATAAATATTTTCTAAAAAAATGAGGATATGCCACTCCCCTCCTCAAATTAAAGAAAATTTTTAAAAAAATATTTAAAAAGCACATAGAGCAAAAATTTCATCGTTGGCTCGAAAAGTCATGCTCGTTTCAAAAAAATTGACAGATACTCAATTCCCAACGAAAAACTCTTGCAACGACAAATGAATTATTCAAGCATTTCAGCAATTTGAAAAAAAAAGTTGTATCATTTTCGATTTGCTCTCGTTCCCGCCAGAAAAGCTCAAATTGAAAATCTCGATTTTTAAAAATTTTTTGACTTAAACATCAAGGTGAGATAAAAAATAATTTAATAGAATCATTATCAACTATACTTTTCTAGAAGTGTTTTGTTTTTTGAAAATTAAAATAAGAATCTTAAATTCTTGTGGAAATCTCAAAAAATAAAATCCGAGAGGTTTTGTTTGTATAAAAATAAAATTTTCTCGAAAAAATATTTAGAAATTTGCTTTTCCGGTTTTTTTTGTCAATTTGCCACTTTTTTTCAAGGCGATAAAAATGCGAAATTCTGCGAAACAAAAAATCAAAAAAAAAAAATTGATACCTCATCGAACGTGTACATCATCTCGTCGGCTTCGTCGTCGTCGTCGTTGTCGCCGCTTCTCGATTCAGATAGAAACGTTGTCGCGATTTTGCCAATCGTATGAACACGATTCGAGCCTGAAACAATAATAATCATCATTATATTTATATAAAACAGGCCGTCTGCATTTTAAAAGATTGTGGACAATCTAGAAATCGGATGGTGGAAGGAGACGCAAACAGCAAAACAGTTCGGAACAGGGCGGGGATCGAACTCACAATCTCCCGGCTATGAGTTAAAAGCTTCTGCCACTGCACTATTGGGGCAGTACGCACCGCGCACTCTATGAGGCGGTTATAACTTGACGGCAGCTTCCGCAATTTGCCTTTCGCAGCTTAATCACAGATAGCAAACGAGTGGTGATAAATAAACAGAATAATTTATAGTTATGCGAGTTGTCATCGAAAAATAAAACACATGATTAAAAATGGGAAGAATACTCGATTCATAACTATATTAGAAATGAAGAAGAGAAAATCTGCCCTTTCGTTCACCTTTTCAATGAGAAAAAGACGAAATTGGATATTAAGTGACTCGGCTGAGCAACGAATCTCAGGACTACACGCATAGGCAAATCGATTATTTTATTATTTGAATGTCGAAACGATGAGCTATCAAGTGGTTTGAAGAAAATTTTTTGGAAAATATTGAAACATGAATTTGCACATTTTCGAAAATTCTGAATCGAAGCAAGAATATTGGGAAAAAATTATTTTTAAAAATCGATTTTCGGGTTTTTATAAGACTTTAAAAGGGAAAGTGTATTTCTGGAAAATCAAAAAATGAATAGAAAAATTTATTTAAGAAATGAATCGCCATTGAAAAGAAAGAATTCTTCTAGAATAAAGAAAAATATCATTTTAATTATTTCTTCAAATTCGGAATTGAAAAATGAATTGCATATTTGATTTTTTGACATCCCAAATTTTTTGTTTCTGGTCGGAAATTTCAAAATTCCCCCATTTTGGAAAGAGGAATTCTAAAAAAAAAAAACGCGCGGCAATTCAATGGGGCGAAAATGTTTCGTATGGAAACGTGCTGCGGACATCGATCGCGGTTCTCACTTTTATTCGTCGGCGTTCGTTTCCGTCGAAAACTGTCGCTTTTTTTTAGAACAAATTCTAAAAAAAAACGAAGAAATGAAAAAATCGAATAAAAAATTTTACGCAGAATTACTCAAAAAAAAAAGAAGTGAGAGATTAGATTATTTTTTGGTTTTCTAGTGGCAAAAAATTAATTTTATATTTTCAGCGGCGGAGGGAAAAAAATGTTCTACGCCTCATATTTAATAATATTCAAAGTCCGACGAATTCATAGAAATTCTCAGGTATAAATCTGAGCAAGAGAGAGAGAGAGAGAGACAGAGAGAATTAGAGAGAGAGAGAGAGGCGATCAAATTTCGCGCGAATGCCATAAACACACAATTCCAAAGATTAATGTCGGCGAATAGTAAAAAAAAAATATATGAGACGCCTTCGAGACAAATTGCGGTGTCACGATTTTCTGTGGGTGTGTGACACCCTCCCACCGCCCCGGGGCGAACAACCACCAATGGCGGAGCATTTCTGCAGTCATACAAAACGAGGAGAGCACTAGAAACGTAGGAATAGAATGGCGAGGAGGTGAATAAAAAAAAGAGGGGAGGGGGAGGAAGACGAGAGGAGAGGACAAGCCCCACACACACACAAAAAAAAATGGAAAGAAGGAAAGGAAAGAAAAATGAAAACCGAGCGAGGCTACGCAACGCAAAGTGGACATGCGTAGGCAATACGATTAGAAGGAAGACGTGCAATAGTGAGTTTGCTCGGAGGTATTAGGAGGTGCCTAATTTGGTCGAGATGGACGGCCCCCACTAAAGTGATTTCCATTTCCGCTCGTTGATTCAGATTTTGCGCCAGTTTCCCACAGAATCATTGTGGAGGTAGGCAATTTTGAGACCCAACCCCCTCTCAAATTCGATGTGCCTTTAAAAATGCGCATATGGCATTTATAATGGGTCCAATAGTAGTGTGAAATTATAAGATTTAAAAAAAAGTTTCGATAACGTTTCACTGCTTATTATTCGAAAAATACTCAATGCTAAACGAATTTTTTCGCGGACGTGTTTTTCTGGCCTAAATTTTCGCGGCCGCCACTGTGAGGCCCCCCTTCTCATATTCGATGTGCCTTTAAAAATGGCATTTATAATGGGTCCAAAAAAAACGATTTTTCAAAATTTTCGATTTTCCTGCAAAAAACTGCGCATTCGAATGGGATTGGTGTTTTTTTTTTCTGTGCAAAATTTGCGTCACCGTGTTTGCACACATTTGCCATTCTGGCGGAAAATATCATTTCTCGGCAATTTTCGAGTTTTTGGTGGAATTTTGCCTAATTTCAAGTAAATCGCATAAATCAACAAAATAATTGCGAGCAAATTTCCAATTATTCGCACAAGAAAAAATTATTAGGCCATTATTACTATTTTTTTTTTGAAAAATGATTTTTCTAGAATTTGCAATTTTTATTAGAAATCACCAAAAACCGAAAAATCAATTCTCAAATTGAATCTCCCCCAATTGGAAAAAAACCCCTCGGACAACATCATTGGTTTCGTTTTGACGTCATCACTCGGCATCAACGTCCATGCACCTTTAAATAGGTGTGTCCACGCAGAATTTGCAAGTAATTTTTTTAATGGACTGACGTCGATTGAATTAATAAAACCCCCGCAAAAGCATTGGCCATTCGAACGATCACCTTCATGGACCATCGTAGGGTTGGCGGTAATTCAAATTTCTCAAGGAGGAAAAAATTGAAGTAATCTAAAAAAAAACATTGCGGAAACCTCGCTCAATGTTAAAGTGTCTATTTAGTCAAATTTGGTGAGAAACGGAGCAACTGAGAAGATGGCGTTTGAAGGGTTTTGGGTGGAAGGAGTGATTTGCGACGAGCAGGGGGGGGGGGCTTCTCAAAAACCAAAACTCGGACAACAAGCTCCGGGAATTCCATTAATGATGTTGTGAGGGGCATCTTCAGCATGAGTAGCTTTTTGAAGCGAGCAAAAAAAGATATAGAGAGAGAGAGAGAAAGAGAAAATAAAACAGAAGAGCCGTTTGGCAAAAAGTCGGCAATGAATTATTAATGGGGAAAAAGTTTGAAAAACGAAAAACTCGGCATTGAATTCTCACTAATATATAATTAACAATGTTTCTACGGCAACCATTCCATCGGTCGAAGCCGAAGAGAGGCGGTCGGAATTTTTGAGGCAAATGCGCTTCAAAATGGATTACGAAGCGAAAAATTGGGGGAAGAGAAGGGGAATGGGGGGGGACACTCGAACATTCTTCTTCTCGACATTGCCAAAAATAAAAGGAGTGAAAAAAAAAAGACGAGTTCGAAATGAGAAATTGGGTGTGCATTCTTCTTCTTCTTTTCCACTCGCGAGCCCTCCCCCGATATTTGTGCGCTCATTTTCGATTCGAATCGTTTTGGTCCCCCCGGCTCGGCCGGCTCTCACCACTTTACGAATACATAAATAAATCCCATTAAAAATACACACACACACACACACCGTTGTCAAGGCCTATAATTTATGGGATAACCTGAACATGAAAAAAATAAAAAATAAATAAATAATAATTATGCGAATATTTTTTTTCAACGTGTTATTGTTATGGACATATTGTCAAGCGAAATTTCAAAAAAAAAATATTGCCAATGCGTCTTACGCGAGACTGCGTACATTGCATTAAAGCGTACGCGCATTTAATATTCAGTCAACGATTCATTGAAATCTACACTAATTTCGCGCGAGTTTTGAAGGTCCCGCCTCCCTTCAGACGCCAACAAAAGGAATGATGAAAATCAAATTTGAACCACGCAAATTTTGGGGATTCACGGACCATCAGCAATTCGTTCTCATTCCATCAGCAATTCGTTCTCACATTTCAAGGGTGCGCGATTCTCTAGTCAACATCGAAAAGCGCAAGTTGGAATGGGGTAGAATTCGTTATGAGAAGATCTGATGACTGTTGGACAACGGTGGTGAAAGAATGGATTCCGCGAAACCGCTCGGGCTTCCATGCGGGGTGGCAGCGGCCTCACAGCGGCGGCCGCGAAAATTTAGGCCAGAAAAACACGTCCGCGAAAAAATTCGTTTAGCATTGAGTATTTTTCGAATAATAAGCAGTGAAAGGTTATCTAAACTTTTTTTTAAATCTTATAATTTCACACTACTATTGGACCCATTATAAATGCCATATGCGCATTTTTAAAGGCACATCGAATTTGAGAGGAGGGGGGGGTCTCAAAATTGCTTACCTCCACAATGATTCTGTGGGAAACTGGCGCAAAATCTGAATCAACGAGCGGAAATGGAAATCACTTTAGTGGGGGCCGTCCATCTCGACCAAATTAGGCACCTCCTAATACCTCCGAGCAAACTCACTACTGCACGTCTTCCTTCTAATCGTATTGCCTACGCATGTCCACTTTGCGTTGGTCAAATATGGAAACCCTAGATGGACAGACTCATTGTAGAAAGGTATCGCGCAGGAAACAGACTGTGATCCGCGCTCACACGTCGTAAGCGAAGCAGGGATCGTCTAAGAGAGAATTGGGATCGGGTTTCGAATCGCCGCCATCGCAATTAACCACAAAGAGTCGACAAAATTCGGAAAGCAGGACCCCCAACCCGCCCTGGAAGAGCATTTAGCCTTAACCTATAAATCGAGGGCAGTGTGCAATTGGAGTGTCGTACCGACAGCGATTTTTTTCTTGAAATTTGAATTTTTTTTTGGATTTTTATCTCAAATATGATCGCTAAATATTGTACAGAGAATGTGCCTTTAAATGTCAAAAAATATTTCCTCGCGCTTTTTTTTTTGAAATTTTGCCAATTTTTCAACAGCAACAAAATTCCCGCAAAAAAAAATAGAAGAAAAAAAAAGTGAGAGATGTCAAAAATGAAGAAACAAGAAAACGAGAGTTCAAGCTTCTAATAAAAATTCCAGACATGAAATTATCAATTTTCTATAGCTTCTGAACAACCCACAAATAATATGCATGGGCGGAAACTTAATGATGCTCTCCTTCTGCTAGCCTCAACCTCATTTACATATATATATCCATCTCAGTCCCACTAATAAATATTCATGATTGCCTAGAGAGTTCGGAGGCTCACACGCGCTTCGCAATTCATTTCGGATTTCAATCGTTTGCGAAAGACAACAAAAAAAATGGGAAAAATAAATGAGGAAGCACTTGCCATTCTCATACAAATCGAGAATCTGAAGTCCGTTCACGTTGACGCCCGACATTTCGCCTTGAAACGCGTCGAAAATTTCGGTGGATCGACGATGACGATAGCTGAAATCCATTTCATCGATTTTAGCATTTCAGCGTTTCGAGACCCATTCATTTCCAAATGTCTCGTGTTGAACGAAGCTCCAATCGATATTCTGGTGTGCATGTTGAGAAGGAACAAATCCGATTTTTCTGGAACTCGTCAATTTTGCTTTCATTTTTAATGGACCCCATTCATGTAATGAAAAATGTCTAAACAAAATCATTATTTTTAATTTGAAAAAAAAAAAAACATTTTTTTTCGATGCGCGCACGTTGAAAATTACAAAAAAATTAACATATATCGTAATTCTCCGCGATTTATTTTCAAAGGCGCACGCGAAAAGTTGCGCCGGGTCACGTAGCGAAGTCGGTACTGTAATTTTTTAATGGCAGTTTTTTTCGAATTTTTTTTTATTTTTTGCGCGTTTTTTTTGGAAATCTGTGAAAGTATTTTGTTTAATCAACGTTAAAAATTCATCAGAAGCGTCATCGAGCGAAGTCTGCATCAATTTCTCATAATAATTGGTTTCGAATTGACAAAAAAAAGACATATATTGTCGAATTAGGAGTAATTAGCCAATAATTGGTTTTTTTTTCTCGTTCTTCAATCCGTTACACATTTCCTCTTTAAAGTTCTCAAAAAAAAAATACGAAAAAAATAGCACCCATAATGAAAAATAAAAAATTACAGTATCGACTTCGCTACGTGACCCGGCGCAAATTTTCGCGTGCGCCTTTGAAAATAAATAGCGGTGAATTAAAGGGAATTCAAATGAAAAAAAAACATTGATTTTTTCTTAAATTTTGTTTCATTTCATGACACACCACAAACACCACGTACTTTTTGGCCGATATCTCAATGTTGGCAGCTTGTCGATTTGAACCGTCAAATTGCTCTCATTCCTCGCAATTTTGATCACGTGCTGCGCTCCATCGTTCAAGCTTCTCGTGAAATATCCAATGTGATGGTCGCGACTGCCCAAATTGTAGTGCACATTCAAATAGCCCTTATTCTAAAAGAGAAATCGAGCTTAGCTCAAATTGCCCCCCGACGACCAACCAAATATATTGTGAAAAAGTCCTGATCGGCAGCGCATTGGATCGCGATCAGAACGCCGTTCGGATGGGTCGTATTGAACGCAAACACGAAATAATCTTTGCTCGACGTCGGCCGCTCATTCGGCTGATACTCATAGAATATCGTCGCCGGTGTTCCGTCGAATCGCACCGTCGTCGAACGACTTTGGCATCGATCGCCGGAATGCGCCGTCAGGCTGCAATCGCACCGAATCGCACTCCACAATTGGATGCATCGTCCGCCATTGGCGCACGAGCCTTCGCCGCATCGCGAGATTGGTCCTTGATCGAATTGATGAGGCATTGACTAAATCAAGCACCAACCTGAACACCCGCGATTGACATTCAATTTCGAGTCGGCATCTTCAAACAGATCGACTAAATGCTCGCTGATTCGCAACGTCGAAAGACAACCGCGAAAGGCGCTCGTCGATTTCGAATGCGCCAATGGATTGCCGCCGACGTACAATTTTCCCGACATTCGCGCTTCGACGCGACGCCTCTCAAAACTCAGCAGCGTCGTCGAGTTGTCGATGATCATCACGTGATCCTGATTTTTCGCGTCCTGATAGATCAGCACATTGTGCCAACGCATATCGCTCAAATGATGGCCATATGGTAGCTTCTGAGAGGTGACTTGATATTCGTGACCCGTCGCTCGATATGTGTATCGCATTCTGAAATTGTTTGAGTTTTGAAGCGACGCCGCATTGATTTCAACGAATCGCAACCTTCCATTAACAATTTGTAATCGGAATGATTGATCCAAATCATTATTTGGCATCGTGAACATCAAGAGCGCCGAACGCATTAGGGTTTGAAATTTGAATTGTACCCGAAATGCTCCTGACAATGAAGCGATCTAGAAAGCGACAATGTGAATAGCATAGCATTATTTTTTGTCAAATTCAGACCTTTTCACTTGAAAACACTATAAAACCCGTTGAGTTTGTGAAAGAAACTGTCGAGACACGCGTTTTTCTGCAATTTATATATATTTTTTTTGTTTTCCTCGTCACAAACATACACATTTCGTTGGCCTTTATTCTCTCTGGACATCGTCGTCGTCTTCATGAATGACAACGCTTTTCGCGATTTTTTCAAATAATCGATTCCATTGAATATCTAGTAGATCAAACCAATCAATATTTGCGGGTTCTTTTTTTTTTGTCGAAAACAAAAAAAAAACAAATATAAATACCAATTTCGAAACGAATCCTTTGAAGTGTTCATCGCGCGGCGGCGGCGATCGCGGATGAACCGAATAGGCGACGCCGATCTCGTCGATTTGAATCGAATGCGCTGATTGGAGGTATACTGAAACCTCGTTGATTCATTGACATATGTCTAGAAGTGTGTGCTCTTACTGCTATGACCCCAAAAACCGTCTAAATATAGAAGCAATTTCTGGCCGAGTCGTCGGATTTGAAGCTCGTGCCAGTGGTTGTCAGCGAGCGATTTGCCCCAAGAAAATGTCTAAAAAAAATGTAAAAGCCATTTTTGAACGTTTCCAATAAAAATGAATATTTTGGAGAAGCCTTCACCGCTCAAAAGGTTAGAAACTTGGTTTTTTGGGAATCGCGGTGAAACTTTCAGAAATATTGATTAATATAATCAGAAGATTATTGGTACGGTAGTCTAATCATACGTAATTATGTGTGAAGTGTTTGCGGACTTTTTCATTTTTTTTTTTCAAAAATCACTTTTATTCAACTTTTTTTCATAAGTTTTTTACTGTTTTCTGTGTTTTTTTTTTTTTGAATGCCGTTATTATTTTTGTAATTTTTGACATGTCCACTATCGAAAAAAACGGAACTTGATTGTTGAACAATAACGGGCAATTTACGCAGGGAGTCAAACAGGAGCAGCCCTGATGTTGGCCGCCCAATTTGATGTCACAAAATCTTGAATTTTCAATTGTTTGAAAATATGGGAAAGAAGGGGTCCCAAAGAAGTATCATATTGGACGTAGAATGAGAATTTGTTAAGCTTTCACATGATACTTAAAATTGTTGGAATCAACAATTAAAAATTAAAAGACAGCCCATCTAAATTTTAGATTCTTACCAGAGCTGCACGGAATTTAAATTTTTTAAAAGCGGAAGAGGGAAGGCGGAACAAAAAATGCTTTAACGGAATACGGTAAACGGAACCCAAAGTTAAACAAACTCGAATATTTTGAAATTAACAGTGCAGAATGTGAGATTTTCCAAGTTCTCAATTGGCAAGGACCTTCTTTTTGTCGAACAAATTTCTCCGGCTGTGATTTTTAACCTTATTAGATTCGCTAGACGTGCTAGGTATATCAAGTGGAACACGGAATACGGAAGTCGGAATATTTTTTTTTAACGGAATACGGAAGACGGAAGACGGAACACATTTTTTTGGACGGAACGCGGAACAGGAAAATTTCACGGAAAACGGAATTCCGTGCAGCTCTGATTCTTACGTTGTTCGATGTCGAATCTTGAATGAACAAATGCAATTGAGAATCGTTGAGGAACACGGTAAACTTGTCCGATTTTCCACGTGTATCGAACAGGACCCCTTTCGGATGAGACGTCTGAAAACAGAAAAAAAATGAAGCCATTGGTTTTGGATTTTTCTTTTTGGTGGTTTTCCCAAAAACTCTACCCGAAATCGAATTTGCACGTGTTCGACTTGAGATATCACGGTGTTTTGAAGCACATGAATGTTGGCAATCTCGCCGTTGGTCTCGACACTCGTTTGCTCTAAAAAAATGGTATTTCCAAAAAAATGAAAATCGAATGGACCCCACCAATTTCGCAACGCGTCCCTTCAAAATTGGTGTTCGAGCAATCGCACTCAAACGAGTTCATCGCTCGACGACAGCTGCCGAAATTTCGGCACGGGTTCGGCTCACAAACGTTCTTCTCGTTCGAATAGGGACAACCCAGTTGAATTCCTAGAAATGTGTGAGTGTGTTTCTTGATTTTTTTTTGGAATACCTGTTGAGTTTGACGCATCAAAATGGCTGGCAATTTTTGCCGAAACGCCGTTGATTCGAATATTCTTAATGCATCCATGGAATCCTTTCATCAATGAGATCGACCAGATCGACGGTGGAAATGTTATCGATGAGTTTGGAATGTTGCCAATGAATATTGGGTCATCTTGAAAAACCATAATTTGTTGCCCAAATTTTATTTTTGTTTGATTCCATATTTGGCAAGAATGATCGAGAATGTTCTTTTCAGGGTTCATAGAGGTTTGGCAGAAGGGCATTCAAACTCTACCCATCCGTTGGTCGAAGGTTATTGATATTGTGGATTGGAGTTTGGAATTAGAAAAATTATAATAATAACAAAATTTTTTTCCGAACAACCTAATGCGTTTTTTAAAAATATTTTTCGAAAGCTTCAAAAAAGCTCCCTTCAAATATTCCTTCAAAATATGTTTTTTTTTGCTGAGTTTCACTCAAAGTTAAAATGCATTCCTGTCGAAATCTTACCAATAATTAGATTTGATGAAACTCCCGGTGTGTTGAAATCAATTTTGATAGCATCCACAATGACACTCCCGGTCCTCGAGACTCGATCCAATTGAACGTGATGCCATTCGCCGTCGTTGACTTTGATTGCTGTTGTCTGAAACGAGCACATTCATTTGTTCAAAGGCACATTGGAGCTCGAAAATTACTTGGAGTCGTACGACGCCGGATCCCAAATTGATGATCATGAACAGGTGGCCGTCGATTAGCTCGAACGCGACATAATCGGAAGCGTTGTTCTGCATCACGCCATGATAGAGGATCAGGCCGTCGGGCGACGTTGAGCGGAAATGAAAAGCTGAATATGCCCAATTTTGGTAATGCTCGTTGAATTGTGGAAGAGGAGGACTTACATAAGCTTCCACTCGACAAACTATTCCATTTGGGTAGCTCGATGAAGGTTTTGCCGTCGATGAACGAGATGACGTCGGATGGTTGAGATGGGTTCGTGCACGAATATGAGAGATCACCACCTAAGAAGAAGAAGAAGCATAATATGGGTTTTGGGAATATTGAAGGAACGTACCCGTCTTGATCACACTTCCACCATAGCTTTGATCGGCGAGATTCACAAAAAGAATGCTTGTCGCGTCAATTTCATATCGAACCTTAAAAAAAAATAAATAAAAATTTCGCGAAAATTTTTTTTTTGCTTTTTGAAATTTAAATGTAAAAAAATTTTTAAGAGTCCGAGAGAGTGTGTGATTTTGAGAGACGAAGACATTTCCCACGTCAAATAAAATGCAGTGGATCAAATATTCTTGGAATTTCTCGACACTTTTGAAATACAAAAAATTTTGGCGGTTGGAAATTGCGCGCTTCAAAATAGTCGTCAAATCAAATGCATTAGGTGTAAACACGCATGGCATGCTCATTTTTTTGCAGAACTTTATAGTCAAATTGAATTTGTGTTCAAATTCAGAATGTTAGCGTCACTCACGACTGTATGGAAATAAATGAAACACAAAGCCAGAGAAAAAAAATTTGACAATGACGTTGCGGACTTGTGCATTTTATTTGACGACAATACCCCCATGTTGAATTTCTCCACAACAAAAAAACATTGAATTTTGATTAATTTCTTATAATCCTCCTTTGAATATGTACCTTTTTCATGCAGCCGCGAAACGACACGCGATTCACTTCTTTCAGCGGATTCTGTTTGGGAATCGAGCCCAAATAGGCAAACGAATTGGCGATCCAATCGAGTTCGGGCGCATATTGCCGAATTTCATCTCTTTTGCCATCGACAATCAACGTCATCTGAAACGTCGACAAATCAATTCAGATCCGGCCGAAAACTTACGCTCATGTTTTTTTTGATTGTGTGATAGAAGTGAGCGTGATGATGTGAGAAAAGAAAAAGCTCAAAGACAATCAAGCAGAGCAAAAAAAGCTGCTCAAAACTTCCATCAAATGAGAAATTTGTCTATTTAGAATATCAGAAGACAAAAAAAAACAATGTTAACTGAGGGAAAGTCAAAATCAAATCGACAAACGGGTTGGAATTGGAAAATCTGTGAAACGCATGCGTTTAAAGAATTAAAAATAATCAAATAAGAACCAATTCGAAAAGCGCACTCCTCAGTTTTGGAAAAGCAAAAAAAAATTCAAAAATTTTAATGGAAAAATAAGCGTCTCGTGCTATAATGGTTCGTTAAAGGAAGGGTCTCACGCCGAAACTTACATGAATTGCCATCATTTTCTCCGAGTGCTAAGATTTTTGGGATTGAAATTAATCGAGAAATCAAATCATCAAAAATTCAAACCAATTGCAATGATCGCTCAACGACAACCGTATGCCAAGCGTCATCGTCATATCGATCCGATGGGAACTCGTTGAACATTCGGACCATTCGCGCATCCGATCCATCAAATTTTGATGTCGCCATTATTTTGCCGTCGTCCAACATTAGATGCAAATAATTCTTGAAAAAAAAAATTGGGCGGGTTTTTAATTCTATTAAAAGCATTTTTTTTTCAATGAGATTCTCACTTTTTCATCGCCCGCGTGGAACAGCATTGATGTCCCATGGACCGTTTTGAATGTCAATGTCAGGTTCTCCTTCTTCGCGCGAAGAATCGCCGAGACGTTTTGAGACACATCGTAGCCAACCCATTCATCACCGCTAAACGTGAGCTCGCCGTCGGATTTTTCTGGAAAATGAATTGCATCATACAAAATTGTGTTTTGCTTTCGAGAATTTCAAACATTCTGAAAATTTTATTCGACTCTGATCCATTCGAAATCAATCCGATCCGTCTCGCAATTTGACGAATCCGATTTTTATTAATTTTTCAAAAATCCGATACGCAGATCTGGTTATGTGTCGGATTCGATTCGAATTGAAAAATTAGAACAAAACGGATCCGATCGGATCCGTAGAATTACCAGTTGGATCGGATTGATTCTGGAGTCCAATTTTGACGGATCCGATGGGTTTTGAGTTACCGGAGAAGGATCATGAAGGTCTTTTCGAAATATACCTTTTTTGAAAAAATAAAAACACACACACACTTTTTTTTCGGCTCAGCTCTAATTTTTCAAACTTGCCAATGATGGTCTCATATGGAATTCATATAAACTTTTTTGCATTCCAAAACTAATAGTATTGATATTTTGGATTGTTTCATATTCTTTTTTGTATCGATGAACTCCTGGTCTCGATCTGGATCTCATTGTAAATATCTGCGGACATTTTCCGGGACACTCGCTCAAAACTAAGAAGGGTCCAAAAAATTGTAAATTGGAATTTGAAAAATAGACGCGTCACCATTTTTTGTGCTTTTCGCAGTCTCTGCATTTTTTTAGCTCCTTGTTTTGGTAGATCATTGACTTTTTACGTCATAACTATTGTAGAAATTTGCTATCAAATTTTTGAATGTCAAATTTCAAAAAGAAAAAAAAGGCAAAGAGAAGAATTCAATAAAATAATAAAAAATTTAGCGCTTTATATTTTATTTGAATTTCTTCCCTACAACTAAAAAAATTTACCAATTTCACAATTTCTTCCATCATGATCGCTGAATGAGCAATCGCATTTGGCGCCGTCATTAGTCGAATAGCAAACTCCTTGATTCAAACACACAAATTGCTCTCGTGACGTCATCTGAAAATTTGCCGTCTGAAAATTGGCAAAATCGATAAATACCTGTTTCTGATTGCAATAATCATCTTCATTATTCCTCGAGCCGACAGCTTCCAATAATTGAGGTGAGGTGACGCCTACAAAAAAATGTAATTTCAATTTTCAAAATGAAAAATTGATTCCTATTTAAAAAAAAATCAATTGCTTGCAAAGTTTACAACAGTTTTACCAAACATCTAGAAAACCATCTAAAGGAATGGTGGAGAAATTCTATCGAAAAAAGCACACTAGAAATTTGAAACTTACGCCGAAGTGTGGGATTTAACACCGCGTCGGAAAGGCGTTCTGCGAGAATTTCGGAAAATGTTCAAATGAGACAAAAAATGGTTTATAGTTGAGGACACGTATGGCAAAAAATGCCATTTTTTTGTATTCAAATAAATAGTAAAGTTTAAGTGGGTTGCGGGAGCGTTGTCAGAAAATCACAGAGCCCGTCCTGAGCCGCCGGGCCAGGGCTCCCTGAGCCGTGGTTTGCTCTCATTTTGACCCCCCCCCCCCATTAATGCTTTATACCTTTGCCATATAAAAAATCGCAGTTGAAGCTCGAAGAAGAGCATTTTCAGGGTCCGATGGGTGTGCGTCTGTGTACACACTGACGCAATTTTGCACTCATTTCATTTCACCCGAATTCGTTTCTTTTTTCCTGACGCCAAGTGTTTTCTATTAGGATTAAAGGCGCATATACTAAAACGCCATAATTGTCGTTTAAAAATAGCGGCGGCCGTGGCCGAGCTTTTTCGATTTTTTCGGCTCTTTTGCCAGTTTTTTTGAGTAATTTTACCATTAAATAAATTAACATTTTTTTGCTCTTTGAAAAATCTCAAATACCTTGCGGATACTGTCGATACATCAAATTTCTCACATTCACTGCGAGATGTTTCGAATATCGCCTCAACGGCGAGCTCATCACCGGCAACATATGAATATTCTACAAGAGAAACGAGAGACAAATTCAAGATGATGAACAACGAAATACCGACGGCAAGCCGCCAACGAACACGTCCGAGTTCTTCAGAATGTTCCCAAACACGAAGCTTCGCTGATTCAAAATTTTGAAGACCAATGTGTAATCGAGTTCGAGTTTCACGTTCTCCCATGACTGCAAAAAATGCCTTTTTCTGTTGGTCCCTTCCAGCAATTTTCACAATACTTGAAATATTGTCAGCGTGTGCCATTTGTCGTCATCCACTCGCACCTACAATTTTTTTGGGGTCTCGTCTCAAAATTATTTTTTTTTCTTCTCTCCATTATTTCGTGTGGGAATCATATTCCACTAGCATTAAGCAAAAAAAAAGCTACTATTGAAGAATAATCGAATAATAATAATAATAATAATACTAATTGAGTAAATAAACCTCTTCAACTCGAATCGTGTTGACTGGTCGCCGTTTGCCGAACTCGTTGGAATTGTCGCCTAATCTGAAAGCAGGCAATATCGCAATTCTGTCATCATTGATCGCACCGAAAATCTAATTGAATGTGTCCTTCGACGATGGAAAGCGCGTAAAAATTGCCATGGGTTCCGCCGTCATCCGTGTACATCAGAAGGCCATCGGATTGGCGCGTTTTGATCTCCATCGACAGCGAGTTCTCGAACGAATGCGCCCATTTCGGATATCTCGAAATCGATTCATTGCTATTTCAATATTATATGCGTCCCAACCTTGCAAACGATTCCGGACCACCGTTGAGAATAATCGGCGTCGCGCATGAGGCCAACAAAGACAGTAGAAGCAATTGGCCGGTATCATCAAATCGCCAAATCATTTCCAGAATATTCTCATCTGAAATTGAATAAAAGAGTCGGAAAAAAAAGTTTCTTCGAGGATGGAACAACGAAATGGTTGGTTGAGAGCCAACGATAAAACGCTGCCTCAACGCACATCCGGAAATATCATGAATAATTAATATTTGTAAAATTTTGCCGACCCCCCCCCCTGCTACACTCAGAAGGGTTCATTTCTATTTTTCCACCAGTTCGAGATGGATGGGATCATTTTTGATAGACATGCGCATCGGCACAATTCATCCGATTGCTTGGAAACGACCGGATGCGAGAATAAAATACGAATGAATGGGGGAGAGAGATGTTGAAATTTGTTGAAGGGGGGGGGGAAGCTTTGAGAACAAGCACGAACAAAAAAAGCATAACAAACCGCCACGCCCCTCTTTTTATTTTCGGAGCAAGGTAGCCTCCTTTTTTTTATGTGGCTCTCAGAAACTATTATACACATTCGGGAGGCGGATATATGCGGATGTGTATGGAAGTGTACGACATTTGTATTAGCAACATTGTGGATTATAGAATTTTCAAGAAGATTTAAGAAAGGTTTCTATACAAAAATTACAACAACAACAAAAATGGAGGTAGAGAATTACGGTAGTAAGTAACTACCACGAGTTAATATGTATAGTTATGCTGAAACAATTTTCAATGAATATTTAATTAATCAATTGTCAAAATTAATTGGAGGGAACACTTGAAATTGGGCGAAACTAGACGTCTGAAATGGTCTCGACACTCGAGACCCAACTCGACCGATTTGCAGACTTCAACAATATCAAGGTGAAGCTGATAGAAGCATTTTGGGAAAAATTTTATTGTGAAGATTTTCTGAAGCTTTTGATAGAATTTAATCGACATGCTGAAATTCACAAAAAAATTTTTTTTTAAGAAAAATATTCAACAACAAAAAATAATGGTGCCGTACACACGCACGCAAAATTGCACACACTTTTTCATTTCTGTAGGATGCACCAAAAAATGAGAAACAAGAAAAAAATATTGATTTGTGAAAATTTCTATATATTTAAAATTTCACAAAAAAATATGACGAATAAAAATTAAAATGTTGAAAAAAATGGAGTCGTGAGTTTTATCTGCAATTTCCAAGCTTCACTGTTGAAAGTCTTGATCGTGACGTCATTCCAAATATGGTAAGATTATTAATGGACCAATTCATGTAATAAAAAATTAAAATCATATATGTTCCCAATAAACGATTTGTAAAAAATGCAAACTTCAATTTTTTACATTTTTTGTTACAAAAAATATCAAAAATTGAGTTTCCCACGCAAGAAAACTGCACGATTTTTGAAAAAAAAATCGAGAGATTCTAATAGTATTGAATGAAATATTCAGCGACTAAAAAAAATGCAGCAATTTGTGCGCAAGAAGTAAGAAAAAAAATTAAGGCATGAAAAAAAATTTGGTTTGAAAAAAAACTACTGTGAGCACTATGCAATTTTCTTTCAAATTTGAAGTGACGTTTTTCACTATGATTTTGTTCTTCCCTTTACAAAAAAAAATTGGGGATTTCAAGAGAAAAAAATGTTCTGCTTAAAGCTGAAAATGTGAATCACGATTGAACTTTGAAGTGTCGCTTATATCCATCATATATGCGCATAGTTAATCATATGAATTGCTCGAGTTTGTTTCATGCCATTTGATGATTTTTCAACTAAAATTGGAATCGAATTATGAGGAAAATTCGCCGTGCGTGCAAAAAGAAAAAAATTGCGAATCGACGATAATTATCTTGAGATGGAATGCCGATGCACACGTTCGTTTTGAGGCAGAAGAAGCTGGAATTATGGTAGTGATTTTCGGGACCATTCAAGTTTTGATAATTTCCAAAATTCGGGGAATATATTTTAAAAAGTTATGAGATTCTCAAAACCATGAAATAATTAAAATTTTTTACAATTTTCATTAAAAAAATTTTTTTCCAATCTTTGATTTTGACGTAGGGAATTTATAATAAAATTCTCAAAAAGTAAGCATCAAAGATAGAAAATCGGGAATATTTAATTGAAGCGCAAAAATCGCAACATTAAAGACAAATGAATGAAGGGGGGTGGGAGCCAAACAATCTACTACAAAAGACCCCCCCCCCCTTGAGCTATCATCTATAAGTACAGATAAGCTTCAAAAAAATCCCCTTCCATCAAATTTTTCACACGAAGCAATCTGATTTCTTAACATCATCAAAAAGGGGATGAGAGATGGAGTAAATGTGCTATATGTGTATATTCCCTCACGACCCCCCCCCCTTCGCAGCACTTTATTTCACTTCGGCAGTCAATCGAGAAGACGACAAAAAGAAAATAATTAGCTTCATCTTAGTTGAATCGATTTTAATGGGATTCCAACACACACACAAAAAAGGACAAACGTTTTGTGTGTGTGTGTGTTCCAGCGGATCGCAAGGCAATCAGATTAAAAACGAAGAAGTACGCCCCGAACAATTCGTGTTTGCCTTTTTTTTCTTCTTCTTCTTCTTCTCATTTCCGTCGTCTTGAAACGAAAACCGCACGAACGCGCGCATTTATTCAATTTGCTCACACTAATCCCCTCCATTTTTGTAATGATGATTTCCGCGAGCGAATGGAAATGCGAGAAAAATGAACAAAACGAACGCGGATTACGATTATTTAATTTTTTTTTCGACAAGGGGGGTCTTTGCAGTCTGTCTTAAAGTTTACTACTTTCTGCGTACAGATTGACAGTGTCATAATTACGGTATCACCTATAAAAAATTCGCAAAAACCCTTCATAGATAGCGGGACCGAAACCGCAACTTCCCTTATGACAACATAACCGACATACCACTAAGCCATGACAGTACGACGAAGACAGGTATAAGCGCGATATAAGACATCCCACTATTTCATTTTCAGTTTCCGCACTTTTGTATGCTAAATTCACAGGGGAGGAGCTAAAATTTTAAAGGTTCATATCTCGATAACTAGAAGATTGCACAGGTAGGGACCTAGTTGATTCGATTAGAAATATTCTAAAGAATCCGTATGCAAAAAATAAAAAAACTGTTAAGACGAACTGTAAAAAGACCTCCCTTGTGAGCAGCTGGAAGATTTTGAAAAATCGATTTTTTGAACATCCTCCCTGCTATAATTAAACCTCACGATTCCCAATTTTGGAATATAGAAGTGGAAGGCTTAATTTGATGTTCCTGCATTTTTGAGCCATTAATTCAAATTACCTTGCACGACAAAAAAAAGCTAATCCTGTTGTGAGGGTGAATAATCCACTTTTAGAAGTGTATATTTTTTTTCGCCAGGAAAAACTACTAATCCATCATTTGTTTTTTTTTAACATTACTATATTTGGGCCGTCGAAGCCCGCGACAAATCCAAGGAGCAAAGAGTTGCCTTTGTGTACTCCACACGGATAACACGCTTGATAAAAATTCTCAATGGACACGCATTTTGTGAGGCACAACTCAACAATACGGCTTTGGTGTTTTAAAATCAAAAGAAAAATGACTGAGATGAATTATTTCGGGGATTTCCTCGGTGATATAATCTACAGCTTTTCAGCAATTGTATTGACACCTCTTCCAAAAATTCGGCCAAAACTATCAGTACGACACTCCGATTACCCGGCGCCCTCAATTTAGCGGGCGGGACGGGCGGCTAATTAAATGCGTTTCACGTTTGTACCAAATCGTTCAGCTGTTTTAATTTTTTCTGATTTAATCAATTTCGAAAAATCAACAAATAATTATTGATTAAAAAATTTGGATTTTTAACATCACGAGAATACGTCTAATAAAGGGACTCGCTGGAATATCAAAGCGTTCTTGAAACCGGAAAAAAACCAAATTTCGAAATATTGGAGGATCGGTTTTTTTGTACCATAATAGTCGTAGACGTTGAACTCCAAAAATGAATCGTTCGAGGTCACTCTGGAGAGAAAAAAATCGCCAAAATAAAATTGAATGATTCACAAGGGGATTCGCGAACACCTTGTTTGTGTTTATTCGGGCAAAACAGGAAAAAAAAACTCGAAAACATGATGACTATGTAGATTTGAAATCGTGGGGGATATGTATTTAAAAGTTGATTTAGGAAGATATGCGACGGGGGGGGGGTCGGACAACAAAAGACCCCCTCTAATAAATGGGCATCGAATGACTCGAATGGTCCCATGAGGAAATTCAATGACGATGCTTCGATGTATGGGGTGTTTCGAAAAATAGAGTACGGTGAGAATGAATGAGGTGTGCCGGCGTCGTCGAATTTGTCAAACGCTAGCGTAAATGGGATATTTGATTTATCGCTTCGAAACTTTTTTTTCTTGAAAAGAAGATTTGAAAATGCTTGCTTTTGAATAGCTGTCAAATCATTGAAAAAAATCACTTGTTGCGGAATAATGGACTTCAAAAAATTGATTTTTTCAGGATGATTCTTTTTTTTTTGAAAAGCGCGTGGAAATTTTCGGCAAAATTATTCGAATTTTACAAAACGTCCCAAATGAATTCCCATGCCAAAAAAAATGGAGATTTCTGTGAATTTCACTAACTTTATTTCAAATTTTAGATTTAATTTGAAACCTTATCAAATGCTCTTTCAAATTGATTTTTCGCCGAATCCCATAATCACCTTTATTTTCATTTTTATAATTTTTTAATTGGTTGAGGTCAGAAAGGTGTATTTCCTTTCAAAGAAACGATTATAAAGTAATTTTAAAGAATGGAGGGAAAATTTAAAAAAAAAAAATTTAAAAACTGGTTACCGCCTTAAAATCAGTATATCTTTTTTTGGAAAAATCATAGAAGCCAGAATCGAATTTTGAAAAACTCGAGAAGAGACATACTTGGAAAAGTTGATGATAAATGCAAGACACTTTCTGCAAACCCAAATCGGGAATATTGCATAATAATTTTGTGACATGGGACCATCGAAGAAATGGCCAACAAAATTGTGATTTTTGATGCCAACAATCAAATATTCGAAGCGGTTTTTTTTGTTTCTCGTTGAAATGGGTTCTCAACTAAACCACAACAAAAAAAAGCGTCGGTTTTTGTCTCTCTCTCAAACAAAATCGGACCCCCCCCCCTCTCTCTACCAAATATGCGCGTATATCAATGTAACATGTTGTGTCCCTCGGGGTTGTCCCAATCGAGGGCAATGGTCCACACAAGCACACATGGAAAATCTTTCGAATTTTTTTTGACACAACTAAAGAACACCATATTCATTCGTTGCCTTTCCAACAATTTCACTTAAAAATTTCAGCATCGATCTTTTTTTTTGTGAATCTTATCAAATGGCTTCTTTCAAATTTTTAAGCACGTTTTCTGAGAAATGGCTGAATTTTTTGGAAGACGGCTGGGAAAAACGGCATGATGGGAATAAGAATTGCAAGAGAAATAAACTTTCTCAAGGATTAATTATTGAAAAAAAAAATGATAATAATAATGGAATTTTATAATACAGTAACAATTTTTTAGTAAAATGAATATAGAAAACGAAAATCCTTAATTTGTTCTGCAACAACCTAATATGACAGTTTTAGTTATGCTTCAAATATACACCAAGAGTACACCAAAATCCTCGGCATTGGCATTTCGCCAATTTTTTTCACTGTCGAGTTGGGCTGATAGTAAGCAAAATTGGGTATTTAAAAGTAAAAATGAGAAAAAATATTTTTATCGGCCACAATAATCGGACTTTAAAAATTAACAATTTTCGATTTACCCAAAGGATATCGAATTTTGGGTCTCGCATGGAAAAAAATCACTTTTAGAAGTGCCGACGGGTTGGAAATTATTTCGAATTTTGCACAAAACCGAAATTCCCTAAGCCGTTTTGTGAACCGATTTCAAAAAGTCCAAAAAT